ATTGAAATCATGAGTCAATTGAAGCTGGGCCACCATGGAAAACCCGGAAGCACTAGACGGCCGTTTCGTCCAAGTATGGGACTCCCCAGCAAAGCGCATCCACGATCCCGCACCCTGCGAGATCCGAACCCAGGACCTATCAGTCTCGCGTCAGGCGCTTAACCAACTAGTCTTTCTAATACTATAGTAGACATGCATTGGTCTAAATCCAAATAAACCTATCAAGTTACGTTAATTTATCAATGATTATACAGATAAACGAAGTGCTACAAATAATAGTTATCACTTGAATTTAAACAGTTCATGATTAAGTAACAACTATACAACAAACATTTTTTAAAATTTTTCTAATAATCTTTACAAATCGTTTCATCATTCTTTTTCATTTATTTTTTAGAAACTACATAAATTCATCTACAAAATCAACATTTCCAATTTACGATCCAATCACAGAAACAGTGCATATGAAATCTAGATTTTCCATTCGAAAAGAAATCCTGCAACATGTGAAAGAAGAGACTGATCATTTGGATACATTGCTTAATCATTCTAACTATACATTGTCATGAAACATGATTCTTGATATAGAATCTTTATCGTAAATTTATCAAGTTAAAAAACAGTCATTATAAAACGATGACTGTAACTATATGAAAGTTATTTGCTACTACTCAGAAACTTCTGTCTGTCTATTGCTTGTCCATGAACTAAACTTGACGTTATTTGTAATGGATAGTTTGACATTAGTTAAATTACTGATACCAATATCAGTATGAAGCAGAAATGTTCATTGGTTTCAGTATATATATATATATATATATATATATATATATATATATATATATATATATATATATATATATATATATATATAAGGGGTCCTCAGTATTATTCACCATGATCGTACTATGTATTGGATCCGGAACCTTAAGGTTTTACTGTGAACGTTTAACAGATGTTCTGTTTCTCCTAGTTTGCAATGGTGACGGAAATTCATGATGAATACCACTTAGAAATTAAATAAATTCACAAAAACTTCATTCATACTATAATATCTCATTTAATAAATTCTCGTCGATTTCAATAGTTATTAGGCATTAATTTAAATGAAAACATGACAATAATAATCGGGATAAATACAGATAACTGAAACAAACGAAACCAAAAACGTGTGTGCATTTATTAGCAGCTGCCTATGTTAAATACTTTAGACCTACTGGTCAGACGCAGACAGCTACCAGATGGGAAAAAATTGGGACGAGACGTCAGAATTTTATAGGACACACTTCACAAGTCATCAAACTGCATCATAATCCAAGCCCAAACATCTGGGGAAAGAGCATATACATAAGCCATATTAGGTTATTTTTATACTAGGGATGTGATAATTAGATCGTCGGATCTGAGGTCCATCAAGTTAAAGGAAGAGGATGAACCTTCTAATTCCGAAAATTGCTTCAAAATTTTATTTCTGAAGGTGATTGCTTTTCTTAATTCGATGATTTTAATCTTAATCATCTCAGACAAACTACCGATAACAAGGCAGATGATTGAAAATAACTATTTCGTGTTAGCATCATTGTTCATTTGAACTAGATGAGTTGAGATGGATCAATTGAAAATCTTCACTAAACCATTATTTGATCAATGTGAAAGATATTCATAAAAAATCAGCCAATGAAATCGCTTCTAAGGTGAAAATAAATTATAGGTTATGAAACACTTGTCATCATATACATAATCAAACATCAAATTAGCTTCAAAAGCAATCGTACTATACTGTAGACAGTGGACGGACTTTGGTTATTTTTATATTGAGTCTACATATTAACCTACACGAACTTGCTAAACTATAGAAATCAATGTACATTTCAAATTTTTCCAAGTGGAGAAAGATGAAATGATTGAATCTGTGAAGTAAAATTTATAATTTTTCAATGATGAATCGTTGCTAAAATATTTTTGTCAGAATCAGTATTTATATCCAGCTTATTACCATATCCTTCTTACATCCACACACCCTATATAACTGTCAACAGATCTTGGTGTTCACCATCTTAAGCTACTGAATGAAGTATAGCTACGAACCTACTAAAGTTTTGTTTAGGGAATAACACTACGGTTTTATTAAGGAAAGTTGATTGCATTATTTTATTGCTCCTAAATATTATTTATAAATGGAGCATACAATATTATATTCTGCTTTGCATTACACTATGTATAAGGGATGGTGAAACCCGTCGACTAAAGCGAAGTTAGTGGTCTTGGGACTTAAGCCGGTGATCTAGTGATTTAAACACAGGTACTTGAAACAATAAACGACAATAACACATTGTAATACATATATGGAACTCCATAACCTTATACTGACAATTATAGTGTGCTCACAAGTAACTGGCCTTGAAAAAGAATCCTCTGATTTCTAATCAGAAACCGTGACCAGTGGAGTGTAACCGTGTTGGGTGTGAAACAGTTATTCATCGAAGACAATGGAAAATGGTCGTGTAATCTCGTGGACTGACTGAGGTTAGACCGCAACACTTGGTTGCCGGCTCAGTGGCCTAAAGGTAAAGGATTCTCGACCGAGACAGATGATGGGCTTAAGTACCACGTGTAGCCGCACTCTTGAGGAGTCCCATTTTATGACAAAACGACCGTCCAGTGCCTCCAGGTTTTTAATAGTTTTCTAACATTGATCTGTTCATGATTTCAATTATTTTCAGCAATCTCCACAACCTTATACTATTATACAACAGTAAGAGGTGAAAATATAATGCCCGTCAGCAAATGACAGTGACTTAAAAAGTAGAAATCTATTACACCTAGTCTGTTTGTTTGTTCACAAGTAACACTAACATCATGCAATTCATTCTGTGAATTTTAATTTGTTATATTTGGCTTCTGTGTTTAAAGTACTAGTCAGCTGTTGAGTTAAAAGTATCAAGCAGAAAAGTCTCTAAATAAGTAATTCAAAGGCTGGGGATTCAAACCTTCTTTTAAATTATATTCCATTGTGAATTAACGAATGACTTTGATGCCTATCTTTTAACTGAGAAATAATAAAATTTCGAATTATTCACCTTATGAAATCAACGGGTCGTAAATAAAACTCAACCAAAATATGAATTTGCGTTTTAAATTCTAAGAAAAGCTATAGGCAGAAAGATTTAAATTCAGATTTCATTCTGTTTGTCACTAATTGCTAAGATGTATCTACAATCGCGTAAGAAACTATGAACCCTGAAGATTTTAAAACATATCTCCACAACCCCACACTGACAATTCATTGTAACCAATCAAATTCTTGATTTAATGAATGTTTATTATCTGTTCGCAGAATTTACCCTCCTGTTCGTTGAGTGACGAACTTTAATGTTGTCGTTTGATATATATTGGCTACAAATTTTAAGCCCAAGCGGTATCTGACTCTCCTGTTAAACGGGATTGAGCTGTACTGTTTGGGTTGTCACATGAAAGTCTGGTTCTCCTGAAAACCAATGAAAAATGACCCTGACCCACAAGGGTATATTATATAACTTTCAGTTTGATAAATCTCGCTAATAAATATTACACATGTTGGAATTATTTATGAACTGAGTTAAATCTTCCTTGATTTCTCGTCATGATGCTAAGGGCTTCGATCGCTTATGCTATGTTGTGCGAATGGACGTATTTATATTGTGACTGATTCTGAGCAAATAACTGTTAAATAGAGATAATAGCTACCCCACTTTATATAAAGAAAACAGTTAATGCATTCAAGGAATTTATTACTATGATTTTATTAATATTGTATGATTACACAACCTCTTTCGATTTCATTTTTTTTCTCTCTTTTAAAAAAATTTTATTGCAAAGTCATATACATAAAAAATATTGACAAACATGAATAATTAATATAAAACAAAAAAGACAGTGATAGGGGAACACTTTGTTAATCGCATCACAAAAGCACATCCACGCATACAAATGGCGTAAAACTCTATTAAAGACAAGGTGAATGGATATATGCACATTTTAGAAGGGAGAAATTTATCAAAATGTAAGCATAGACGACATTTAAAGAATTACTGTACATGCACAACACATATGTGCAAGAAAGAAATCGTTTTTTTTTTAAGAATCAAGTAACATTAGTAGTGGGATATAAAAAGAGTTTTGTTTAATACGGAAGAAAAGACAAATATGTTGGGTGCATACAATTATTTACACGTATAAAAAACATACAAGGAAAGGTAGGAGAATAAAAAATACAGAGATTTTATGAATACACAAGTGAGAGGACAAATAAAATGTGGAGTTTTCAAAAAGATCTACATTTCTCTCTTTGCCCACTAAGTGTTTAGAGATATAAGTTGCTCGAAATAGAAAAAATAGAAGTCGAGAATGAGGGTAAATAAATAAAGGTTCACAGATGCCAAATAGGGTCATTTCTTTTATGTGGACAGAGAGGCACATGTGTGTGTAAATACACATATTTGTTTCTATATGAATCGATTATGCACATTATTACTATGATGAAACGTATTCACATTAACAAAGAATCACTCAGTTTTCAATGGATAATTCATTTCAAACTTACTCTCACAAACCTTGCTTCTAATTCGCTTCCCCCTTATATCTTTCACCTGAAAAGCAACTTCGTAATCCTGTTTCCAGTAGTTTCGTACAAATTAACTGTCTAGCAAACATAATGAAATAGAAAATGGAATGAAGAATATATAAAGTGAAAAGTTCGCTATCCCTACCATTTTCCTTTAGAATATATTTTGGTGTAAAACATATATGCTCCTGTTTACATATGATAAAATATACAACAAAATTGAAGGATAGTGTCTAAAGACGGTCTTCGAGATACGACAAAACAGATAAATTGATCTCATGCGATGAAAATCTAAAAGAAATACACAACAGTACACACAATGTACAGTTTATCTACCCAAAGCAAGAAAAGAAATATGAATCACGTTGATATACATACATAAACGGGAACTGATGCATTATTCAGTAAATTTTGATTCTGATTTCAAATATTTCTCGACTTCAATTAAAGAATTATTTGCGTCGACCATAAGCTAAACGAATTGGAAAGAAAAATAAGGCGTATAAATGTACATAAATTCCAAGATATTCAAAGTAATAACAAGATAGAATCGTTTGATTGAGTAGTCCTCGTTACTGAGTTCTAAGTGCTAATGGAATACATTCGGTCACTTTGCACAATGCGCGGCTAACAGTCTAAGAGAATAAACATCGTAGTGTATATTTTTTGGTGCTATAACTAATAGACAGAAATTCCCATGAAACGTAAAAGTTCACGTTCGTTTGAACCCGTCAAAAAGGAGTAACAGCAATGTGAACACTTATCTTAGTGGCAATCTCTGTGAGATAATGTGAATTCCAATCTGATATGTGATAGTGAAAATAAAATGTGATTGATTGTTGAGCGTGGACAAACAGGCACTTGGACTACTGACTATTAAATATGTGATTTCCTTTCCTCTCGTTGATCTATACTTCGGACTCACTGAGGGTGACTGCTTGCAGCTGTGTTGAATAAAGTATTATCTAGTCTATACTCTGGTTCTCTATTTTGGAATCACGAATCCTGGATCTGAACATAACGTGACCAGTCTCATCATCGTATTAACGCATTATCGTAGCATACTTGAGAGATAAAGAAAAATATTTTAAACCATACGTTATATATCACAATCTTTAAAAGAGTATGTTTCTCAAGGATTGTTCATACGACTTCCGAACGAAATCTAACCGACATGGAACATTAATAGTGTAATGCAAGAGAAATAATTATAAACCATATTAGTGAAATAGTTTTTCGATCACTAATCCACATACTTCATTCTCAACCGCTTATAAAATATCAGTAGTAAATATCATATGGCCTAGAAAAAATAGGGCATTTAACGAAGATAAATTTGGGAATCATTTCTATCAAAAAATGACATCTATCACAAAAGCACAGAAAGTGTCTCACTTTAGTTTTAAACAGTTTATTATTGTTTGTACACCACTTTAAATAAAACTAAACCCATCACCTTTCAACGCTGTCTAATGAAGAACGGAACAACTATTTAGACATTGAATAGAGAACCTCAATTATTTATTTATTCGTAAATATTGTCATTTCATTCTGTGTGTGGGCTGTGAAACTGCCCGGGCGCCCAAACCGAAGCAGGTGGTTTTCTTAGGGAGCCCCACCCCGGGCCTTTACCTAAAGGTTTGACCCGCAAGGCAGTGGAGCAACGTAAGATGTAGTCGATCTAAGGGTACGCAGGACCGTCGACGCGCATTGCTGTAGAGTTCCATACAAAGACAAAAGAGCCGTCCAGTGCTTCCAAATTTTCAGTGGTGGTCTAGCTTAAATCGACTAGTGAATTCAACTGTGAAAATACTACAAATTCCACAAATCCTCACACAGATTCACATGTTTAAAAAAACACTTATCAATACACTTACTTCATCTAATTGAAAGTAAAGAAATACAGATTGTATTTTAGTTCGTATTGAACGTGAAAAAGGATAGGAACCAAGTAAATCAGCAATTATTGTATAGGTACACGCATTGAAAGGTTGTATAGAACCTTTGGAATTTTGTTGTGTAATTATAGCTTTATGAATAATTTGATCCAATGTATTGCTATTATTATCATGAGATGATGAACAGGAGAATACGTTCGATGATAAATTCGATATAGAATCTAACAGTTGATTACACCACATATCTTGTTCAGTCATTTGTTGGTCACATTGCGAATCTACACCAAATTATTTTATTTGTTTTTTAAAAATACATACATGTAAACATTTACGGTTAATGCTGTGAATTAATTTCACATTTATCGACAAAGTATGACAAAAAAGAACAAAAAGTAAATGATGCAACGATGAAAGGATCATGTCAATGATAGTAATTCGATAAGTATTGTAGCAGTCAAATATCTCGTCTATACAACTAAAAATAATGAGTAAGCAATGGTTGTTTACCTAAGATCAATCTAAGATGTAAACAATGAAAGTCAACAATCTCCGCAAACAGAATCTTCTGTTACATTAAATAGGTCATATGTAAGTTCTCACATTTGCTGTAACAATTATTCTTTTCACTTTTTAAATATCAAAATATATCTCTTGCAACAACCACATTGTAATGGGTTTTAACTGATATAATCGCTCTAGCTTCAGGCACTGAAAATGTTCCAAAATGGTAAATGTGACAAGATCAAGTTTTCAAACTGAGACATACCTTTTTTTCGTTGTCACATTTATGAAATAGTCAAGTGCGTCCCAATCTTATAGCCTTCTTTTCAGTAGGAGCACTGAGAGATACCAGAAATCAAACAATAGTGTATTAGCAGTATTCAGAACATATGACTCGTCATTAAATGCTTCTTACTCGAATGTAGACAGACGACTGATTTACAATTTAAGGTAGTAAAACGCAAATTGTTAGATTTCGATTCAATATATGGATAATAATAGTAATGACAACATGCTATTTACGAGATGAATACATTCTGACTTGAATCCAGTTGTTTGAGGGATTATCTTTTGTCAATTTGATTAGTTAATAAAACATGCAATCAAGAGAAGCATTTACTCAACGACTTTACAGTATATGAATATAATTATGGCAATTATCAACTTCTACCCCTTACACTAATTTCCCTTACCAATTATATATATATATATATATATATATATCACTGAGTGATGACAAAAGACGTTTTTATCTAGTCCTCAGTGGTGATCGACCTTGCAGCTAAGGCATAACACCTTTGATAATGAGGCTGGATGATGCAGGCCCAAATCCGTCAGGAAGCATTATTTTTATCAAGCCTAAAGGCATATCTTGATGTTGGGTGCCGTCTAGTTCAAAGTGGCATGTCGGCTGCATTCATCTTAAATATATTAAATATAGATAGGAACATTTTGCGAGTAATATGTGGACAAATAGCAACTGCTGGGAATTTACCTACTAAACAAAACGACTATTATTAATAATATTACACACATGTGAAAATAATAAAAATCGTACTATCACTAACCACTATTATCATTGTTAGTCAAAGAACATGAATAAGAAAGACATGTACTAGGTGATAGACAATTTGAACGAACTGATGAATTCACTTTATTTTCAGTATTACTCCATCCACCATTATTATTATTATTATTATCGTTGCTTTCATCATGATCATTTGTATTCTTCAACTGATGGTGATGCTTAATTGATAACTCAGGAGATTGTTCTACGTCAATACATTCTTCAGATGACATTCTTACAACAGATAATCTGGGCAAATCATTATCATTTCTAGTCAAATTTATTTCATTCACTTCAGATGAAACAAGCCAATTGTCAACTGCACCCAATTTTTCAATTGAATGATTTGATGAAATACTTAATTCACTGCACACAACAAATGGTTGTAATGGATAAAAAAGAAAACAAAGTAGATAAGTTAGATTTTACCTAAAAATTACCAGCTAATACGAACAACAATGATACGGTTATTTTTGAATAGATAACTAATTTATTCAACAAACTATCATTATTAAAGAATTTCCACATATTTTAACATCATTCACTATGTCTTTATTGGATTATGACATATCAATTCGGTTTTACATCAACTAGTTTTTTCGTCCGATGAATCGATTGTTAAAGTCTATCAGTAAAACGCTGATCAATCAGTGATACGATTTGGCTGAGTGATGGCCACTCATGGAACCGATTCATTGACAATTCATCTCGTCCCGAACGGCTTGAGATCAAAGACAAGAGCACTAGCCAGAAGAACAGAATTTGGAAACAAAATAAACATGATCAAGTGACGAGGACGATTGGAAGAAGTTAGTTTGTAGGCTATTCACTCCCCAATCAATTAAGACTTAAATATTGAGTTTCATTTTTGGCTGTCATATCAACCAATGTAGGTATACACAATAAAAAATAGATTCGACTTAGTTACCAAAATTACTCTAAAATACGTTTTTTCTGAAGAATGGGGAACTAAGAATCACACTTTGAAAACGATTGGTTGATTGAGGGGTTGAGCGATAATGTTCACGTAAATACGTATTACTAAAACCCCAACTTACTTGGAATTATTCAATCTTTTGAACAAATCTCTGTGAATTTGCAGAGACTTCATAGCTGGATGAAAGTGGAATCACAACCTATGAATCGATGCCGAGGAGAATGAGCTTCCATTACTATAATTAACGAAATTTACGTTAGGATCATTGTTAAAATCAATCCAACTAGCAATCTTATTCTTTAAATTAGATATACTACTACTTAAAATTGTTTATTTTATTTCTCACAAGCTAATTGCTCGCTAATCAATCTCAAGTATGGGTTAAAGATAGTCTTATTGAATAAAACTGCTTTTCGAAAGTAGGAACCTACAAAAGTTCAGTGGGAACACCAATTTTTAAAATATGTGGGTAAAACATTTTACGCTACATTTTTGAAACCTTACTCAACCTGAACGGATCTGCGATGCACATGATAATGCTTGTGAGACATCTTAACACAAATAAATCAATTGCTTACTGGTTTTTATGTTCAAAATAATTCTGATTAGATGACAATACAGAGGTGATGGAGGGCTGTGCAGAAACAATACGAATCTCATCAGATATAAGTGATGATTTTTCAAATGCATGATTTTCTTGGTGCGACGAGGAAATATTTGAATGATCAGTAATTTGTATACTGGGTGAATACAATCGATTTTCGTTGTCACAACTACTTTGCTGTATTGATGAACACTCACTGATATCATTTTTAGCAGTATAATTAGTAGTATCTGTTGATATTTCATCAGGTATCGATGATAATGTAGGTAATTTGTCATTAGAATATAAAGATAGCATTAATTGAACATGCACAGCAATATCAATAAAGGATATTGAATGTTTGTTATTGTCCAGAGAATTCAGTGATCTAAATAAACAATGTGAATTATCATTATAAAAAGGTTTGATCGATACATTTGTTTTACTATTGAATAATGATGGAGGTGATGATAACTGAAGTGATTTAATCGGATTCTTCAATGTGTATTTCTGCTTATTTTTAGTATACTTTTTAAAGCCCAATATTTTTATATCAGTTGGTAAATAAATAATTTGATTTTTGTGTACACAGTGAAACAACGATTGTAACAACCATCTGGTATCCGAACAATTAGAATTAGGCTTTGAATCGGTCAATTCATGATCATCATGATCGACAGCAAGTGCTGATCCATTTGTGGTAAACGAAGGCGAACTGAAATATAATCAGAACGTGTTCAAAATCATTGAAAATTGACAAGTATAAAAATTTGAACTTGAAGGAAAAACAAAAGTTTAGATAAATAGATATATCAGCGTGTTCAATTACTAAGGACATTTCATATTATCTAGACTCTTGATAATAAAAGTTAGGTTTTAATGTAAGGATAGCAGACAAAAGGTTTTCTTGAATTCACATCTCACAGACCTTTGCTGCTATTTCATTGGTTATTTCCACTTTTAGTTCACGAATTTCACTATAATTCAAGGTCATTTTGGTGTGTTTTCAACAAAGTTGTTAAACTTCATATTTGCTTTATTTAATATCGACGCTTTTCTGATCACTTATTTTATCTGTCAGTTTACAATGAGCACCTCAATCGTAAGTTTATTTTGATCAACCTTCAGTGATTTTTCTAACATAAATTACGATAGAATTTAGCACTTTTGTTCACGTAGTTTACTCAAACTACATTTGTTATGGTACATAGTGCTAATAGTCAGTATATGAAGGAATCTCACATTGAAAACATTATATCAACTTGTTAGGGCGGCTTCCAGAAGGTGTGATGAAGCCTCCAGAGGCTTTAAAAACCGAAGATTCTATCAAATCACAGATCGATAGAATTTGTAGAATATCTACGTGGCATGTTGTGATAGGATAGCTGCATAAACTTCCGACTTGAAGATTGGCTGGATTACAATGATGTTACGACCTATACCAAAAAGTATAAATACACCAATTAAAAATATATGTAAATCAGACACTCTAGCTATCCATCTATTCAAATCGAATCTTGGTATACAACAACAGCACTGACAACTCATTTCAACGTAGTCTCACCATTCTATCATATTCTCTAACTCAAAAGATCAAGAATCTGTTTACTTGTTCATGATTTTTTACAGTAATTCATTAGCTATCAATAGGAAATTTGATGGACAGCAATCACTTATTTTACAACTATTGTCGTCTTAACACATTTCCTTCAAGTCTACATCGTTACATAAAACCCTCCATCAGATATTCGTCTGTTAATGTTTAATTGATGATTCAGTGTTGTCTTTATTATTGTTAACTTTCTAAAATCATACAACATTGTTTTATTGAATTAAAGGTTACTTTACTAGATATTTAAATATTTAGACTATTATCATTGAAACATTTGTCAAACGACAAATTAACTGTAAATGCCTTTTTTCAGTTTGAGTATGTGACATTGTCTGCAAAGCCATTTTCATTTTATCGAATGACGTAATGGGATTCTTTCATGGTTACTAATGTGTACTTTCATGAATTCTAAAATGCTGTTAATTAATCGAAAGACAATTTTCGTCACTGAACAATCTTTCGAAATTTTCACAGATTCAAATCATGAGTCTGTTGAAGCTAGACCAACATGGAAAACCTGAAAGCACTGAACAGTCGTTCCGTCCTAGTGTGGGACTCCCCAGCAGCGCGCATCCACGAACCCGCACCCCGCGGGATTCGAACCAAGGACCTACTGCCTTCGCGAGCGAGCACTTAACCATTAGACACTGAGCCGGCATCCAACGGTGTTAATGTCTAACTTCAACCAGTCCACGAAGTTGCGCCACCGTATACCATTGTCATCAGTGAGCTGATATCTCACAACAGACCTGGTTGAACTCCAGTGATAACGGCTTCCCACTAGAACTTCAGGAGTATCTCTTGAAGTCAGTCACTAGTGAGCAGATGATTATTATCAGAAGGGGTTTGTGGATGTTTTAGAAATTTTTACAGATTGAAATCATGAGTCAGTTGAAGCCGTCCAGTGCTTCCAGGTTTTCCATGATGGTCTAGCTTCAACTGACTCATGATTTCAATCTGTGAAAATTTCTAAAATCTCCACAAACCCCTTCTGATAATCTTTCGAAATGTTAATCATACAGTAATATTAGACTAATTCAGCATTTAGCATTAATCAAGTATACCATTTGCATTAGGTTACCACGATTACATATTCAGATCATTAGACATCTATGACAAACTTTTTCAGCATAAATCTATTAGTTAAATGATAAGTTAAGATAATTCATGAAAATGGTTAAAGGGAAAACCATTTCTACCTTGTGAATTTTTAAGTTTATCAATTTTCAGGTAATAGTAATTACCATTGTATTTAGAAATTTATAACTATTTACAATAAACTGATCATTATAGCCAATAAATAGTTATCAATTTAGTCTAGTTTTATTTGGATGACATGTAAAATCATTCCATCTAAAAAGAAATGTACAGGTACATTTTTTTACCAATCCATTTTCCTTAGGATAATCAACAAATCAATCTATATTACTGTGAACATAAAGTTCCAATTATTACCACTATATTTATTAACAACGAGTATCATCAAAGTATTTGAAGTGGCTTTTCATTTCGTCAATCAAAATTTTGGCTTAGAAAACAATTCAACCGTCTAAGAGGATGTTTATATTAAAATAAAATTGTAATATAAAAATGTCAATTTCTACGTCCAATCGAAACAAATTACTCGACACGGATTTCGAATAACCCGATTACAATAATGTATTATTTACAGCCAATTGACAAACTGATACAGGAAACAAAAAGTGTGCTCGTATATACATTGGACACTCAATTAGAGGAATTTTTCAACCAATCACTTCTAAATATTTATAATCCTTCCCATAAATTTTAACAACAGTCATAATGAATTTATACCGAAATCCAAACCAGGAAGCACTGAACAGTTGTTTCCTCCTAGTATGTGACTCCTGGGCAGCGCATATCTTCGACCCAATCGGGGATCAAATCGAGGACCTAACGGACACTCCCGAAGAGTCCTGTACAAGGACGAAACAGATGTTCGTTGCTTACTGGTTCTCAATGGTTCCCGAACTAAAATCAGTACATGATATAAATTATAATATCCAATGGTTTTCAAAACCCTGTATACTAGTTAAATATAATTCGTATATAACAGAACGATGTTCGAATGGTCAAATCATCATTGACACCCAGTCATCAAAAAGTATACAATTTAATGGCAACAACCATACATAAAGGTGTACTCACTGCATTAGTATAGTTAACTATGAATCTAACATTATACCTTATAGTTTAAAGTTACGGACGGATAGACATCATCAACAGAGCCTGGTACAGATGTGCTTTGGCTTGATTTGCCATACCTGATTAGCACAAGATGAAAATAACAAAATAAATCAAATTATTTAGAGTAGTACTAACGATAAAAAGGAAAACTAAACATTGAGAAAACGAAATCAAGGTGAATAGTAAATGCATCTGCGCCGTTGTGAGAGATGTTGAGACAAATTACCTAAAGTACTCAACTACTGATTGTGATTTTCACACATACCCCAATCAGGTAGTTTGCATCTACAAACATTAATTACAACAGCAGTCAATGACTTCATGGATTGGTGCAACGTTTGATATGGCGGTCTATAACTTTTTCTGTATAAGCAAATATCTTTTATTGAAGCGATTGACGATTGCATGTCTTAACCGCCTCAATCGAAAAAGATTTGCTATATTTACTAAGTACCAACTGTCTAACCTCAACATTGCACAGTCAATCGTTTTAAGAAACGTGATAAATGCTTTGAAAAACCTATAGTTGAATATTATTAGTATACGAATATCTTCCATTCTTAATGGCCATGCTTCAAAACCATAAAAACAGGATAGAATAACTGCTTCTCACTAGACCCCCCACCATTGGTTGAAAAACTGACATTACAATAACGACCACGCTGATGTACAATGGCATCGGCTAAAACAATATTTCATCCTAAACCAACTCAACAGGGCAAATGAGATTTGCAAGATAAATGGAGTAGTGAACGTGCCCAGCCACTTCGTGCACTATGATTAGCTTAAGAAGTAAAATAAAGCAGTTCTGATCAGACGGCTTAATATTTTGGTAGTGTCTTTGTTAAACAGAACTGTCATTTATGTATTCTTATTCGAAAAATGAGTCACCTAGTAAGAGATCAGTCTTTGAAACGTGAGAGGACGAAAACATTAACTCTAAAAAGAATGTTTACGACAAAAGTAAATAAGAATTGGAAAAGTGGGCAACCATGCTCAGTACCACTTGATGGTATTTCGCCATAGCTTCTGACTCGACCATTAATTTCTGAGTAAAAATCCTTCATGACCTTTATGCACTTCTTTGGTACGACTTACAATGGCAGACGCTGACAAGCAATATTTCAACTTGAATACACAGTCGAAGTATATATATATATATATATATAGTCATTAAAAAGCAATTTGTAGTGCATAACTATTTCAAAAACAATAATAAAATATTTAAATAACTGTATGTTCTGAGATTATATGTTGTTGAAACTTGAAATGAGAAATACAACTATTGCGAATAAGATCGAAATAAAACTAGATTGTAAGGAGGTTTATGTAACCACCTAAATCCTAGTAATCGAATCCGCTAAATTTGTAGTGTTGACAGGTTAAGAAAAATTTTTTATGTTCACATGATTTTCTGCAAACAAACGAGTCTTAAATATTCCCACTAATTACTAACACTAGGTTTAAGAAAGAAATCACCAGAGGCAATGATATCGAAGCATCGATACATGAAAAAGGTTCAAACGTGTCACCTATTTCGTTGAAAATCAACCGTTTAAACGTGTATGTGTAATAGTTATATTTATCACAAGCATATCTCACACAAGTGACCAAAACTTGAAAACTTTGCACTCAATACCCAAACAAAATTTGATCATATAACTAGAGGATTGAGAATTCAAATATAGATAAATTCAGTTCAGTAAAAAACACATGTACACACTAAGCAGTGTTGGTGTGATGCACATAAAAATGAGATTTCAAAATATTAGCAATAATAGAGGTGTTCTGATAAAATGATCTACCAAATGTTTAAATTATGAATCTAAAACAGTCTAAGTGAATCAGAGCGTAGTTGAATGGCACAGTAAAACGTCAAAAACGTTAAAATCCAGAAAAGAATAAATAAATCAACTGTTAGTTTACAAGTATAAACAACAAATTACGAATGATAGTCATGGGAGACGAAAATGGCAAGACGTATTTCGTTATTGCTCAGGGAACAGAACTAACGCATGATGATAGTACCGTAACTCGGAGCTCTAGCTAATGAAATAGTCACGTTTAAAACGGTGCTTAACGAAGTTTGTAAGTTGATAAGAGCACAAAGAACATGACTGGAGTATTAAATACCAGTGCTAATACTAATTTCAAAACTCCTCATATAATATTCAGTATCCGAAACTCAGTCGTTGTCAGGTATTTATAAGTAAGAAAAGATTTGACAATCCTAAAATATTAAAAATCTCCTATGGAACAATACAATAATCCATTGTTTCTTCCGAATAATCTAACAAATAACTTGGGTATATCATGTTTTAACAAAGTTACAAATGTTTAAAGTTCGAAAAACAGTCATCTTACACAACTTGACGATGTGAAATACAGTCACGATGTGTCCATGTAGAATAAAGTTGCTTAGATGAAATATTGACAGATGATACATCATAACTGAACGAATCAATTTGAGTAAAAGAATTTATTGAATGCTTTGGTTTAACAAATGATACAAAATGATGATGACTCGGTAAATGAAATGACGAATGTTCTCTTGATTCAGAAATTGGTGGAGAAAGCCGTCTATGATTAGGTGACCAACGACGATGCAACCACCGACGGGAACGATTAAAGTTTCCAAATACTTGACTACGAACTGACGATTTGATGGACTTTTGTGTACTAAGAGGAAGATTTTCATTTTCTTTAAAAAAAATATTTAAAAAGTAAAGTATAAATATTATTGTGCTGAATAATCAATAGTACAATAAAAACAAGAGTTAGTCCCACAGTTAGTTGCCAGTCGTATTGGAAGATAGTTGTACAACATCACGAAGTGATCGAAACTAGACATGCAAGCTATTGAATCTCATCTCAGTGGTCTAGAGGTTAAGCGTTAATCGCGAGTCCTGAAACATACCGGGGTTCGGCTGCAGGTTGGGTTGTGGAAGCGCATTGCTAAATTCCATAGTAGAACGAGACAACTGTCGCAAAGACAGTTACTTTAGTGTATTTTCTATTATTACTTTTATAACATAACTAATTCACCAAATCAGCATAACACGAATCGAAGCACTATAAAGAAAATTCGCCACCTTATATTGCTTAACACATGGATTTTCGACTATATTAACAGAAATAAACGTGTAAGTGTAAATCAAATTTTCGAAAACTAAACCTGTCCAAATAATTGGAAAATAATTTTTTCGTGAATTAGATTACACTGGCTTTCAAGTCCTTTGTTTGTTTAACCTCACTCTTACAACACTAAAGAATACTTATCACACACACAAAAGAGGTTGTAACAATATACGTAAAGTATGTTTTCATCACGCGACTAATTAAACGACTACTAATAGTACTTTTTCTATTGTTTGTTATTTACTATTGCTACAGAAAGAGATATAAGTGAGTAATCGGTATATAGGTATAACCAGAATAGAAACTCTTTTCAACGACACAATCTTAGATTAATGGTATGATGATTAGTTCGTGAGAAATTTTTTATTTTTTATTCATAGGTAAAAAGTTTTATCTGCAAATGATTATCTGTTCAGTATCGAACTCTCTAAAACTGTGTCTCTGTTAATATATTGAACTTGATTGACAATATTATTTTATGAATTCTATCTACCTGCCAAACTGCGTTTTCTCTCAGAGTGACCTGTTAATGACAGATAATTGACAAATTGTCCTGAAAACTGCTAATTTGCACATCAGTTCTAGTGTTTGAAAACACTTATTCGCATAACTGAGACGGAAATAGGGAGAGATAGACAGTTGACATACGAATATTTTAGAAGCTTCTGTAACAGTTTTTTAAAAATATTCTATGGTTCTATGATAGTTGGTGTTAGATTGGATAGGAAAACCAACCTTTAATGTAAAGAAAAGACGAAATAGATAAAATTGAATTCTAGAGTAAAGAATCAATATATATCGTATATATCTTACTAGTTTCTGCTCCAAAATTAGTGACTGGAGGAATGACAGAAAAGATATCAGAAAGTAATCGATTTGGTTTTGACTTGGTTTGGATCATTTGTCCACTGAGTGATTGGATTTTTGGGTAGACTAATATCTCATCTTGAGCTCCTTCGACAGTTTTAACATTTCTATCATAAAATATTTGAGGAATGAATAACCAATCGGATAAAGATTCATTGCACTTAAGATCATTAATGTGCTTTGATGATTGGTTATTTTGTAAGATTCCTAGACAGTTATTTTGTCGAAAAATTTGATTTGATGATGTAGCAATTAAATTCAAGCAAATCCATGCAACCCTAATATTAAAAGAAGAGGTTACAGAAAAAAAATGAAAATTGGGATAAATTTCAAAGAACAAGGTGAACAAACTCTTAGAATTCAAGATTTATATGAATATGACAAAATGGGGGGTAAAAATTCCGCTAATAGAAATCCCACTAGACTCTAACATACAATTATATGAAGAATAAAATGCAGTATAAAATATTTTAACACGAAACTAATTGTAGCAAATGAACATAATCCCCTGCATAACAGAGCTAAAGAGAAGAAGCTGAGCCACAGTCAATAAGATATGTGGAGTTCCTAATAAAAAAATGCAAGAAACATTAAATTATTAACTGAACAATTTAGTGTTCTACATCGGGAATAATAATATGGCAACTCAACGATTACATTGGACGAGGGTCACACTATGCTACATTAGGATTGACTGGTTTTCAACATATGAACCACAATGATTTAGGATATTTGTCTCAACAAAGCCATCCTCAAATTCAAATATCGAGGTCTTGGTTTTCTAGACTAATGTGGAGTTACAAGTAGTCGATGCCACAGGGTTTGTATATTCGACCTGGAAACTACACTGTATATTGGGACAAACTGGTACTCCGTAACTGTTATCAGTTAACTAAAAGATTCGATCTTAATTTATGTGAAGCATCTGCACAAAAACCCTGTGAATCAATAATAATCAGTAAATTAATTTCAGCAACAAAACATATTTTTACTCTATAAAAATCAATCAATACTTCTCTTTACTAACTGTGGTAACCAAATTATTGAGTAGATGTCCATAGGTAACTAACTTAGCATACTCCCTAAAAAATAAGCGACTTAATCCTATTTACGGGACACGACCAAAAATTATATCGCATACTCTCATCTTCAAATTAAACTTAATATCAGTACATATGTACATGAAAGAATATCAGAGGATTTTTTTTCAAATAAACTCCTTAAGAACAGTAAATCAAAACTTTTTCTAAATTGGTGTAACCATTTAAAAATAGTAATGTTATCAGGTTATGATATAACCCGATGAAAACTGGTAGTTGAACGATATATTGAGCATAGCTTAAATTGAATGGATGAAATGAATGTTGAATGCGATACTGAATGAATATTGCAATAAATTAAACTTGATAACTAATTTTATCCCGTCCTAACAAAGTCACAATAACAACATTAAATAGAAAAATAACTCAGAGATAACCGTTTTTAAAGTTGAAAGAGAAGATTGTCGTTTAAGTTAAAGAGATCAAGGTACTCAAAATTAATTCAATGAAATATTTTAATTTACATAACTGATTAGTATTTCTAGCTTTTTTATACAATGTTTATATTAATGGAAAATGTATTATGTAAACATAAACTTGATGTTTAAGTTGTACTTTTAATCTTCCAGATACATAGATTTTGAAGGGGGGAAACGTATCAATAGTGATAATAAGAAATTAATTTATACATTTCTTTAAATGTTAACTTACGCTCTGATGTTCATTAGATTGGAGTGTAAAGCAAGACTGGTTAATAATGTCATCAGTTCAGGATGTCTTAATAACCAGTATTGTCCGTAAGATGTTGAACAGGTATGAGCTAAGGCCCACATATCTGCTTTAAGTTTTAACAGGGAATTATTATCATTATAAGTGTTTGTTTCTTCATACTTATCGTTGATTATTTGAGGCAAAACAGAACGTATATTAGCAACAGCGGTCTACGATTATTAGAAGGAAAAACAAAACCAACACATTATAGGATCTATTAAATCATAACAGAGAAATATTAGTTTATGAGAACAAGCTTTTATAAAGATACCTAAATATATACAACACAGGAAAAAATGGAAAAAATATAAAAAGCAGTATGGAAAATCTACATTCAATATTGCTTTGCTGTTTTCTTAGAAACTAAAGATATATCTAAAACATGAATTACTTTCTTTATCAGTTTAATTTAATTATAATAATAATGATAATCATTTGTTCAGCACTGATTCATGTATACGGGGTTTTGAGCTATACTTTAGTTGTATGAGGGTGAGCGACACTATCCGGCTGAAGCAGGCAGATCACAGTTTATAATTGCAATCTACAAATTGGAAGTTAACCTTAAAGTAGTGATCGAACTTGACAATCCTGATGAACTAATCGAGTTATAATAATCACCGATTCCAACCCCGCTCCATCTAGTTATTTTTTGGTCAAACATGTAGTATTATTATTTCTCACATTTGAAGTATGGCTCGAAGTCAAGTATGCAAATATATTAATCAGAACAATAATTGTGTGTGTGTGTGTGTTAAGAATAGTATAATCACATGAAAAGGTTTAAAAAGATTAGTACATAAAATGCACATAATTTACCTCTAAATCCTTTCTTGTATCTAACAAGTCGATTCCATTACGATGTTCAGCTATACATGCATAAAGATGTTTTGGAAGCGGTAAACAATGAAAACTATCATGTCCATCAACAACTTGATCAATCGATTGATCATTTACCAACGGAGGAGATACATACGTTCCGGAAACTGAGTCAGTTTCTTCAGTAAAATAATTGTCTTCAAAATTAAATTCTGAATTGCTAGGTCGATCAACTCTCTCACTGTTTTCTTCATCATCATTATTTTCATCGTCAGTATTGGTATTAAAATGTAAAGGTGACAGTATTTGTAAGTTCGTTGTTGCTGAATCAAAAGATGTGAAACTTGTTGACTTATAAGATGTACCCGAAAGTAATTTCGTTCCATATGTAACAAACAACGAAGTAAACCGATCGTCCATTTCTTTTGCATAAGCTAAATTGTAGTGCTTTCGACAAAGAAAAACAAGGATAAAACATATGTTTAAAACATTAATACATTACCTATAAATAGGAAATAGCTATTACATAAATTCAAGTTTAGGGAATAATAAAAGAAAATAATAAGAAACTCTATTCTAGCACATCCGAACTATAACCTGACCCATAGAATAGACGCAAAATTGGCTTTCAGAGTTATCCGTTGAACTTGTCTTATGCTTTTAGAATTTCTCTACCATATATAACAGAGGTCATAAGAATGCATATTGACGAAACCAATTTATGTGTAAAGAAAACGTATTTATAGTCTATTATCCTGGCCTCCAACTTAATTACGCGTATGATTTCTAAAGTTTTTCAATCTTAATTACATTTAATTTATAACGTTACTACCACGTAATATAATTGTCCAAATTGCTTCGCATCACTTCCACGAATAATAATAAACATGTAGTATTAAGTATGCTCAATATCCAAGTAAAAATGAGATATGTGTTAACAAACAGGTAGAACTAACTCTAAAAAATCTACCAATCTACTCACTTTAAATTTTTTTTGGAAAACAATACAAGAATCTATTATATCGAAATAACACAAACACAAGCTTAGTCACGAAATTAGGAAACATTTAAAAACAGCAAGCGTACTAATCGAAACATTCAAAGCCTAAAGTAAATGTACAATCTAGGTATTATCAAACAATGACTAACAATAGACTACTTAATTTGCTATAATCTTCACGTGTGTATTAATAAATATTTTAAACACTTGGAAATACAGAAGACACTCTGAACTACAAAATATCAGCTTCATTAAACATTAAGTGAAAAGGTAGTCAATGTTAATGCGTTAAAAAACCAGCAAAGGTATTAGTGAAATATATTAAGTGCGAAATGACACCACATAGATTGTATGTAACACAATGGCCTAGTGCAGTTTAGTGTATAAAGCTATGAACCAGAAGCACTGATGGCTAGAAAACCTCTTGACTTGATTTATTGAGAACAAAATGTCTGATTTAAACAGAAAATAAAAAATGAATGATTTGAAAACAGATTGCTAATCATTGAAAAACAAATTTAAGCTAAATTAACAGAAAAGATACAACTTAAAATCAAGTCAGAAATGTACAGACAGGTACAATTTGAATTATTCAGACTACTGTCATTATTAAAACAATTCATAATGATAGTTATTAGTATACTTTTATAATATAGAACATTCTACTAAGTAGTTATCATGTCGTTTGATATCAGCGCATTTGGTGGAAACGTCTATAATTCGGTCCCATTTACAGTAGCCACTCTACCACATCGTATCATTGAATTTCATTTATCAACCAGACATTATCCTTTTATTTTAACAATTACAAATTTCATTCACTTATTAGATCCTAACTCATAACAGTGTTAACGGGGATAGGATAATAGCGATAACGCTTCACCACACTACAAAATCAAGAGACTTAAGACCTTTTCTCATAGTCCCAGTAGTCAACAAATACTTGATGGAGATAATCGGCTTATTGTTTAGTGCAAAATCACACAGTGGTTTAGTAAAATGTGAAAATCATACATTACGAACATCAATCGCATATCTTCTTTGAATTGTTTAGTGCAACCTTCATTGTTCCTTCATTCCTGTTGTCATCTTGATTGCTTTTAGTTTTCTCCTATCTTTTCTTCATTTCAGTCTTCTCAATTTTCCTCTCACCGGCTCGTCACTTCCGAATGGTGCTACATACTACTTATATCTGTCAACATAAGTAGCATACACATGTCAAGACGATTATCAAGATCCCGGTAGGAAGAAACTACCCTATCAAAAAGTATAAAAAACCTCACAACAAATCTATGTTCCACAGAAGTTGATATTTGTTCTAATGTTGAAGACTACAGTTTATAAAGAATCATTAAGACAGAGTAATCTATTATACTAAATAGTTGTCCTCTATTGATTACCTCACGATACAACGAAATATATACATACCGTTTGTCAGTTTAAAAGTTCACTGCGTACGGATGTAATTATTATCACTCAAACAATCTATGAGAAATCACAAAACACAGAAAACATACTCTTATCAGCAGTTAATGTGTATTTTTGGTCAATCCAAGTAAAAATCATAAGTTCGAATGATTTAAATCCAAAGTAGTGTTTTTTCTACAATAACATGGTCTTTCAACAACATACCAGACCACCGAGACGGAATACAAATGAACAACTTAAGTAATACATAGTTTCAGTTCTAATAAAACTATGTATCTTTTTAAGTTGCGGTAACGCAGATCGCCTCACAAAGAAGGTCATTGAAAAGTGGGAACGTAAAACAGAAGAGGATATATAAATGAAATTATACAATGAAAAATATTAAATATAATATTAATACAACTAGCATCCAATATATGATCAAACGGTGAGTTATTGAGTTTGTATGTAATAAGAATCCATGGTATAACACACCCACGGGACCATAGTTGACCCGAAGGATATAATTTTATAAAGAGTTATAAACAAGAAACTTAAACGTTGCCCATTCAAACCTTACCTTTCGTGCAACATCTAGCATCCAGTTCACTGGATCACTTAACACGGATTTATTGTTATTATCATTATTACTACTATTCAGTTCATTACAAGACAGACATGAGTTTGAACAATTCATATTCTTATTTGTTTGCGGTGTACAACAACGACCGTCATCACAATGAAGAAATGATGAATTTGGATGTCTCCAAGTAATATGATTCATGCACAGTTTATCGAATATAGTCGTGATAGAAAGAATTCTACCAAATATTCTATGTCCTATTGGACCGGTATTACCATGCAATAAATAAATAGCAAATGGTGTTAAAAAGTTTTTTTGACAAACATTATTATTGTCATCATTGGTTTGGTTATGTAGAATATTTTGCGATAAAGCCTGAACATTTACAGGATCCCAACATAATTCCTGATAAAAAAACAGAAAAAAATTAAAGGAGAAATTATAAACGAATATCGTTCCAGTAAGCCATAAACAACCTGTCACATATCGGTATCAGTCCAAGCTCTTACACTATATCAGTACAAGAAAATGAAATTATCAAGAGAGATAGCAGAGTAGAAGTAGTAACGATATTAGTGGTAATATAAAATATTATTATGGTTTTAGAACAATGAATTTGCAGAACATAAGATAATTTCAAGTCTGAAGATCTAAGAAAACATATAGAGTGAAAGCATCTGCGTCATTGCAACCGATTTTAAGCAGTTTCACATGCAGTTTCCAATCAATAAGAAAATCGCGCAGACCCAAACGAAGTAGTCTCACGTAGTTACATGGATCAGGCAATCACTTCACGTACCGGAAGCACGTCTTGGTTTTGTAGTGAAGAGCATGGTTTCAGACTACAATAGATCACTAAGGGTTACTGACTTTTTTGAACGTTATTAAAATTCTATTCTTTTAAAGGAAAGGGGTATTAAATTACACAGATAACGTAATAAAAGTTATTAAACACTTACATGAACACAGTGAATCAAATTTAATGAAATGTACATATACAAGAGAGAATTCACAAAAAAATCTACATTTGGCAGTTAAACTGGTTTGAGATAGAAGGAAATATAAATGAAGGTTAGTAGTTAGTAATACGTACACCTTGTCCACTTGCTTGACGGATTCGGAATGGTGGCTAGCGGTACTGCTTAGTTCCCCAGGTCAGTAAATAAGCTTAAAATGATACTGAAATCTACAAAAAAACTGGTAGTTGAAGACTAAGTACCATACCTTTAAATAAAGAACAATTGTTCTGACTATAAATTAATTCAGACGGGGTGTTAGGGTTGTTAAAACCTTAGGGCTTGAACATGTTGTTTCTAGACATATACTTTAGGTTAGCATTGATGAAGCTAAGGTTCTGAACACTGAAATGATACATAATTCCATTAAAATGTTTCATCTAATGTTGTAGACTCCTATTGAAGTATTTGAGGATCAAGTTGTTTGATTTGGACTCTTTTTTGTAAGCCAGGCAAGTATAATACTTGTAGATGCATGGACAAACAGCTCAACTTGTGAGGTTGATATAACCAACTTTACACAAAGAAGACATATAGATAAAAGCCGAGGTGATCCATAATGTTAAAGATTATTTAGGTTGGGCCGCCACTCTATGTATTTATTGCTTTACTTGTTCTTCTATAAAGCCAGAAAGAATAAACAAAACTCCTTCAATATTTTGATTCATAATATTATGCAAACAAAAATACAACGCATAAAGTCAATATATTTTTGATACAGAACTGCATGACAATACAAGCACAGTAAACTGACAGTTATTTTTTGAACTCTGTAAGTCTACAATTAAAGTTACATGAAAACTCGGTAGAAACAATAAACTGATTTTTAAAATTCTCTTTAAAATAAATACAAACTAAATAAATTTTTAAGGAATAACCACTAAACTCTTAATTTTTTGTTGTCCAATCCTTTACATTTATAAAAACAATTAAAATATCAACAACGTCCTAAATGCTCAATAAATGAGTTGTTTCCAGCACTTTTAGTCAATTTCCCATTCATTTAGCGGGTGTGTTGCATATTTCAGTGAAATTTTTATTTCAAGCGTTTGGATTTATCTCCGTCTTTTATATGTTAGTGTAGTGCAGCTCAGCAAGCCGAATGAAAAACATAAATATAAAGTTAGGACTTGAAAAGAAAGATCAAATGCAAATTACACTCTAATATGCAACACTCACCCTCTAAATAAACGGGAAAATGTCTGAGAAAAGCTGGTAACGACATATGTATTGAACATTGAGGAAGCTGAGGATAAACAGCCAAGAAATATTATACAGATAATCATAGTACACATACTTCTAATAGGCATAAGGCTAAACGACGAATTTTGTTTGATGGATCCATGCATAGTTTTACAACTAAATCTATACACCAACTTGCTAGGAACGGCAGTTTCAGACGAAATAAAAGACGAATCAAACGAATTGTATAAATTCGTAAAGGCTAAAAGCGAAGAAACGATAAAAAACATGAATAAATGCTTATATTATTCATTTATTTGAAAAAAGTATAATGTTCTGGATTTTGAAATGCAAGTCGTAATTAGAAATTATCTATAACATTGGATGAATGAATGAGTGTAAACTTAAAACTATGGTGTTTTGTCTACGTCACAATGTCATCTATACGCAAATCATCAACATGAATTTCATATTTATTTTTTTTACAAATAACTAATAACATGAGAAATATACTGCTGTAGTAAAGTAGGATTGATAATTTAATCGAAGGAATTTTTATTGTTAAAGTGAAACCAAAGAACGCCTTTCAACAAATGATATGCAGAAATAAAATGTTGCCGGGTAACTGCGCTTCACCAGACTGAACAACTGAAGTAAACCCGCAAACTGAACTAATATAAAAAAAGACCTGTTTAACACAATAAGTTCTTTTTTTCAAACGAAACAACAATAACTATAATATGAACATGACCAAACGTCGTAAGTGATTGCAGAGAATCGAATTTGTGGTTCACTTGCACTTCAATCAATCGAGACTTTCAGCTTAAATATTTAATCATCTTGTTCAAACAACATATAAACACAGAATATCAACGCAGGTCAATGTACGCGCAGCTTGTGAGTCTTAAATTGAATGAAGCATGCATCCTGAATCCCACTATAAACCACTATTCAGCTCAGCTTAAACTATCCAATAAGACTATTTCGATCAAGCAGTAGCAAGGACCAAAATCTGGAGTAGAAAAAGTTCTACCTCATCGACTAATGACCTATGAAGGTCGGTTTTTATCAATTTCAGCTGCTTTCTATTATTGTAAGAGAATATTTTTCTATATTTTGAAACATACATAGTATTTTTTTTTCATTGGAAGAACAAAGAAAATAAAACGACAAATTATGACTAACCTTTATACCACTATTTACAGCAGTTGTCAAGAGCAAACGACTCAATTTAGTAGAATGTGTATAATCTAGACTAGACAATATAATTTTCGCATGATTTAAAAAAATGGATTGTTGATTACGCTTATCATCCGTATCATTACAGTGAGTTTCAGTATATGTATTGGAATTTTTTTTCAATTGACTAGGAAACATTAAAATACACTGGAAATCTAAACAAAGATCGCTTTTTTCCAAACGTAATTCACCGACTTCAGAGTTGGTTAATCGTGATGCGGCAAATAAAATCAGACCACCACAGCTTTTAGCCAAATAATTTGGATGGAATGTTAATATATTATTAGTGTTATTACTATTGTTAGGATTATTATTACTGTCTTGCGAAAGTTTCTGACTTATTGATTTATTATTACCGTTATTATTATCATTATGACTGATTAATGATTCATTAGATTGTTTGTTGAGTACATATTTTAAACATAGATGGAGTCCAGTTAAAAAACGATCCAAGTATTGAAATGGTTCACTAGCCTAAATAGCAAATCAGAATAAAAGAAATTGAAAAATGAATAATAACAATAATAATAATATTATTACTACGATAATAATAATAACAGTAGTAATAATAATAATAGTGTCGATTGTAAGGAAATTGTTATATTTCCATTGGGTTTTTTGTGAAAAAAATTAAGAGGAAATTGTAAATACTACAAAATACAGAGACTATACGTAGTTCAATCTATAAGTTATCGGCGTCTTTCTTGACTCTGTAGACCACAAGATTCTGTGGCAGTGTCTGACAGTGAGAGCCGTATCTCAGAAGTAAATGTATGTATGCTCAACCACTGACTGCCCCAACTTGCGATGCTTTCTGTTGTAGAAGTGGGTTGGAAGAAAGCTAGGGGTGGCTAGACCAAAACATGGCACAAATCTATGAAGTCACTGACAAGTGGACTGAGCCGTGTTGGTAGGTGTAGACTACCTGGTTGGGGTCCGCGAGATGATAGCGACCGATAGTTAGAGACCGTGAATGACATGGCTCAAAATCGTTTGCAATGGAGCAGGTGCATCCACTCTTTGTGTTCTCCCAAATTCTAATCTTCTGAATTCTTGGTGTCCATTTTTTGTCTTTCCAAATTTATTTCACTGTATTATACTCCTTGAATAACACCTTCAAACCCTAATCTTTCGGATTACTGTTTATACTCTTAGTACCTCTACTACTATGAGATTTGAATCGACAGTTGTATCTCTGTGCTAATGTGGTACGGCAACTCTAACTGATGTATGTACGTACGAATTTCTACGTTGTTACTGACTGACTGATACTTTAGGAAGTCACTAAAGTAGTTTGCACTTTTTGAAGCCACCTTGAGCATGTACACTCAAGATATTCGTCATATGTTGTGTACTTTAACAATTAAGTTACTATTCTGGGCTGAATTTCGGGATTTTTTATTTTTTAAACGAACTGATTGTTGATTTCCAGTTTAGATCATGTGGTCACATCGTAACGATACCTCAGGCTTAATTGTTAACACAACTCACCAAACGTAAACTAAGGTCGTAATAAACTACAATTGATTAGCTAACAAGGCTTTTTCTTTAAAAAAATTATACAGTTATGTATTGAATATTATTACAACAAATATTAGCAAGTGTCATCTGAGAAAAAGGTGGTTGTAAAACAGTGACTCTGATTGGTCGATCGGTCACCCATCAGTGGAATAAGGACTTGACTATCAGGCCTAATTCTTGACTGTTTACTCAGCGTTGTAGTAGTTAGCAGCATTTTCTAGTCTTTGGTTCATGATAAGATATCACTTTTTAATGACGGGTTTAATTTCGAACCACAATAGTTCCATAGAGTGTTGCTATCATCTAACTGTGTAATCCGAAGTGATTAAGGTGAATCAGTGATCCGATATCAAGTGCTTCAACTATGCAATTCATCTCTTTAAATAATCTTTTTATTTGTATTGCCTTTAGTTTAAGTGATAGAGTGATGGCTCAGTAGTTAAAATGTTCAACTTCCATCTACCTAGTCGTGGACTCGAACCCTAACGCATGTATTTCGGTTTGAACAATCGGGTAATATCACTAGCCCATCATACTTAGAGTGTAGCTCAACTCCAGATACCCCAATCTGCACCTGACAAATGAACGAATGAGTTAAATATCGTGTGACCTTGATGAATTAATTCTGGTTTCATAAACAACAGGAAAATATCCTTTTTTCTTGAATATATTTTATTTGCAAATAATTAACAATCGTTGTCTTCTCTTTTTCTAGTTATTCTAGCCCTAGAACGTCTAGTTGTACGCACAAATCCTTCAATTGTTAATCATTCGAAAATTAAATTATCTTATTCCAATTATTACCATTACTATTACCACTACTATTATTGTCACCATCATGATGTCGATCATGCCAACAATCATCGACAGTTTTATTATTATAATAATAATAGTGATAATAACAAGTTGAACGTTTCAATTGATAATGGAATCAAAGAAAAGTTACTGTTATTGTTTCCATTCATTGGACAAATTATAATTCAAGCTTTAATGACTACATTCGTGTTCAATAATAGTACAATGCATACATATCATTCATCACGTATTCACGAAGCTGTTATTCTGTCGTTGATTACAGTTCTTAATCGCTCAGAGTGTACACAACTTTTACCTAATAGTCTTATTTCGGTAAGATATATCTTGCATATTGTATTTTTAATTTATATACAATTGAGTTGAATACCAATATAAATTGGTAAGTCATGCAAATCTCACTTGTGAGTGCGGCCCGTGACTAGCACTTTTTAGAGGCCAAGTACTTCTGCAAGGCTGGTAGGAGCTTGAGCCTTCAGTTACTTTCTGTAATGAGTTTTTGGAAGTAGTCGGAAAGTTTGTGTATTTAGGCAGCTGTGTGTGTGCTGGTGGTGGCGTGGCAAGTGAGATCACGCTACGTATAATGTGAGGTAAAGCAGCTTACACCAATCTGGGTCATCTTTGGGCCCATTGTGATGTTAGTCTGGCTTTAAAAAGTTGACGTTGCAACATTTCGGTGAGAGCGATCCTGCTCTATACCTACAAAACACTGACCTCTGGGTTGAAGATATTCGGTGACTTTGTTTCCCATCATCATTGTCATCGAAAGATAGCTGACGTCCGGAAGTCACGTCTTGTTACCAATACGGAGGTTTAATGATGTGTATTTGGGTGCAGTGAAGATAACTCACTTGGTGTCAACATCTCGAAACACCAGCTTCCGTGGCTTGAACATATATTACGAATATCACCCCCAGTGAATTCTAAATTGTTGATTACTTTCCGACTCTGGGACTGGTTGGAAAAGGGTGATAAGTGGTCAGTTCATGGCATGACGCAGTGGTAAGGGGGGAAAACAGTATAGGACTGGGATCTGTCGGTCCTTCACGACTATCTAGTTGGGGTCCTAGAGATTGTGCAACACAGTGGGTTGAGACGTCAACAGGCATGACTCAGAACGGAGGTTGATGGAGATCCTGCTGTAATGTCGTTTAGTAGTCTTCAAAATAAATAAATAAGAGGAACTTCTTTATTTGAAAGTATTCTTCCTAGTCATATTATGCTATTCATTCACTTCTTTCTGATTCTATTCCTTACTCCCCACTTCACTTATCTCTCCACAATCAAGTTTCCTTATTTGTGTGTCGCATGTTTATTTCGGTGCTCCAGTATCAGTATTTATCCGTATTAAATAATTAAATTAATAAATTTGTAACATAATCAGAGAATCTATTTATCTACTATCTCCAAAACAAAAGAAAACATATTTGTAGGAAACGTTAAGCAGAACAGTGTAAACGTACTGGAGGATAGTATGCCAAATGTGTTATTAATCCAGCAGCTAAAATTCCAGCAGCTGACGCATGAGGCCAATTATATGAAAGCCAAGCTAAATTGAAATTGGCATTCGGATTGATTAAATAATTCGATCGACTTGTATTAGAATTATTATTCATGATAGTACTTGTAGCATTAATATCAGACATGTTTTTCTCTCGAGAATATACTAATAAATGATCAGTATTATCGTGTGCGTTCAAAGTATTTACACTTTGTAGCACAAAATTACGATTATCACTGATTGCATTCAGAAGTCCATCAATTGGTAATAGCCCATCCGATGACTGCATAGATTTACTTGGAATAGAAGAATACACTACTGGAGGAGAAATCGGAACAGAGCATTTTTCAGTTTTGCAATCTGATATACCTGTTCTGCATGTCTGATCTGGTATCAAAAACTCCATGACTGCTTTTAGAAATCTAGATTAAATTAAAAAATATATATAAATATGTGTAACCTTCAAATAGCCTATTGTTTTCTAATCGTCAGTACGACTCAGTGACCAAGTATATATCCTGTATACTAAGCTGTAATTCAACATGGTGATTTAGTGGTTAAAGATGTAATCTTTCAATAAAAGCATCACGAGTAGTATCACTAGTCTTCATGCAAAAAAATGTGACTTGAAGACAAGTAGACGAATGCGAACTTGGTAAATATGTTGACCCTGAAACAGTAATCAGCTTTCCAAACCAAACTAAATGAAGCACACTCAAAACTAGTGATTAAAGCAACAAAAATCAAAAGTCTAGTCCACTGAGCGACAATACGATACACTTCATTGTTATGACTAACAGCAGCAGATTAGAGCGCAGCGTTTTATCGATCGGACCAAAGACGCGTAAACACGTAAGAACGGCCTAGAGTTCTGATTGGTCCCGCCTCCCTGTCTAGCCCAGCCAGTTGAGTCCAGAACGCAAGTCTCAGCCTCTGAGATATGAATCGTTATATTTCAAGCATACTGAGTTTATATACCAATCAAGCAGACCACATCGTACCATAAAATAGAAAATAACATTTGATACGTGAAATAAATATTGTCCAATAGGAAAATGATATCATCTCAAGTCCAAGAATAGCATTAGACTTAATAGAAAATTTTTTGGGATATTTTCCTGGATATCTCAACATTCATAATCTCACAAAACAAGAAAGATACCCAAGACCCAGCACGAATTTTTAAAGGCAGTACAAAAAAGCAATTAGATGGGTCACAGATTTTTATCGACACTGCTTAGAAAATCCGAATATAATCGACTGTTCCTAATAAAGTGCTATTTCATAATAGCAAACATTTTATTAATCATCTGTAACGCGATGAATTCAAGTAGTGGATTGTTTCATAATTTCAAGGCTTACAAATGGAAGCCACCAGAATCGCAGACATCATTTAGCAGAAATATGAAAAGCACAATGAACAAATTATCCACCCGATAAAACTTCATATTATGATCATGAGACAACAATTTAGATTCAGTATAGCGAATTTTTGTAGAGCAAGGTATAACATAATAGTTGCGTTACCGGCCAACAAACCAAAACACTATATTTGCTCATTTCCCTGTTCGTTTTAACGTATTTAAACCTTTTTGCCATCCATGGACTGATACAAGGTATGACACACTTAGACAGAATACTCTAGTCCATGGGGCTCTTCTACTTAGCAGTACACGTCTATTTCTAGTCTACTGTATCATTTTTCATAGCTTAAAATGGGTTAATGTTTAAAACTAAGTCCGAGCATTTTCACACGTTTTATACAAGAAACTATAATTCTCTAACTCATTAATATTTATGTAACTTATAACTAGATATTTCTCGTCAACATAGAGATTGGTTCAGGAATAAAAAAAGAAAAAACTAAATAATTAGTAGTAGTCTATACGTACTTCATATGTGATTTTGATTCCCAAGAAAATGTGCATCGAGTTACAGCTAAATGACGGCCTAATGAGGTTAAAATGTTCCAATTCCATAACTCCGGTGATCTAGTATCATATGTAGTCACCTGACATTGACTAAAACGACCATGTTGAGATTTTGACTTGAATGATAACACATTTGATAATGCGATCAACTGATCCAGAGTTGTATCCGTAAGCTTAAAACAAAAGTGAATAAGAACGATGAAACATACATGAATACTCTTATGAGAATATGAATAGCGTTTGTAATATAATGACTTTGAAATCATCTTACTTTTTGGTTTGCATCGATGGTAAGATACATATTTATTGTTCGCGTAAATATTAGCACATGACATTGATGGTACTAGTTTCAACTCATTCACAGTTCAAATTCACTTGAACTTAAACAGATTTATGGGAGAAGATGAATGGAAAAACTGACATTTTGATTGATCTACTTACTCGTTTGTGGGACATTATCCAATCAATCATTAGGAAACAGGATAATTGAGAACAGAGTTATTTAGAATAACCTAACAACAATTAATGTTATACATGGACAAAACTTTATTAATGTTGATGGATTAAATTTCGTTAAGAACTATAAATAGTATCTGCATCTAAGTCATCTAGCTCTAAATCAAGTTGAATAGTTGCATGCTCAAATCTGAGAAAGCTGATATCTAATTTCCAACTAATCAGAGCAAGCAGACGAATTAGGAAGATAATGTAAGATTATCATGTAAACTCAATATAAACCGTAGTGCTTTTATTACTGCATATTTTGCGTTTAGGTTTACTGGAATATACTTTGTTCCTACTTGATTCTTGTTCCGATTTGGAACAAGCCGAGTGAATTATCGTGTTTAAAGGATGAGAGATAGTGGAAAACGTAAACGTGTAAAACTAAGTTAAAAATGGAAGAATTACGATAAGATGTATATTTCACTTTTGTTATAATAAAATTTACTTAATTTCACCACATACATATAAATTATTACGATAGGAATATAAGGGCCGAATTACTTTAAAAATAAACATTAACATTTGATTGTTGGGAAAAAATAACATCAACTACTTTCTAAGCAGACCTGGGATGTGGTTAGCAGTGGAGTCTAGGACGCTCATTTGGTTCTGTTTGGGATGTATTTGCATTTCGAACTTGGTGTTCACTTCGAGATCGGGATCAGGTATTTTTTTGGTTCAAACCTAAACGCGTTATCCAAAATCTAAGTAGAAACTAGCTTATGGAATAGGGTGAATTTTAATTCATTTGTTTGGGTTGTCCGAATCTTCCAACTGGCGTTTAGGATTGGAATTAGCAAGCCTTTTTCTGTATATATGAGTCTTGTATGTTTTTACTTGAAGTGAAAGGTACTAAGTACGAATTTCGAGGTGAACATCAACTCTAGGAACCAGGTACATCCAGCTCACGAATCCTAAAGAGGATGAAACGCGCGTCTTTGGTTCTACTGTCAAACATCATCTATCTCTGCTTAAAAAGTGTTTGTGGTTTAATAGTATCGACGCAATCTGCAGAGGATGTACATGAGTCAAAAGAGACTAATTAATTGCAATCCTAAAAGTCAGTGGGAAGATTAGAATGACCAATACAAATGGATTAACATCAACTAAGTTGTAGGAAAAACAATTAGGCATAAATAAATGTCAGTATCTGGTCTGTTAGTTTTAAGCAGAAAAACAAACGCATGTGTAGGTAAATAATGTGTCACCTGAAAAAATTAAAATTACCAAATATACATATAAAAGTGACATGGAAATAAAATAACGAATTTATAGTAGATACCAATGCGGTTTACTTTGTGTAAAGAGCATAACTCTACAAAATGATAATAATAAATTGCCTAGAAATTAGGATAACGATTAATTTACTGTAGGAATGTTTATGACCACGAATAAAATAAAATGGAGAAAAAGTATGACTGAAGAAAATGACAAAAATAATCAAATATTCGCCTCATAAATCGTATATATATATACATGGTTTATTTTGCTGCAGTCCAGTATATCATTGAGTAGAACTATACTATATTAAGACGTTCAGTGGTTATACAAGTGACCTTCAGATTAACTGATCAAAATTAGACAATCATGATGTAACCGATGCAGAAGAGTTTTGATACACAAAAAGTGATAAAATTATAAAGGATTCAGATTTAACGCGACTAATGAACTTATTGGGGCGAACTATTCGAAATCATAGTATTGTAACCCAGCCCAACACTAAATCCTAATCCTAGCAACCTGATCAGAACTCTTCATTCCACATGAAAATCATCATTCAGTCCTTTCAAAATACGAAATAAAGTCGAAATCGTGACGTTCAGCAACAAGTAATGGCATTTTAATTTTTTCCTAATGGTTAACTTCGGCTATCGTAATTTAACTTGGTCGCTAACAGCCGGTGGTATAGTAGTCTTACTTATCATTGATAGAGAAAACTTGGGAGACACACTCATTTCCCGAGAGTCAGACAAGATCTTTACATAAATGTCATTTAGCATTTGAAAAACACAAAACATATACCATATATACTCAGACTATGCTGGAAGAATTACTTTTGTCAGAGACGGAGATTGTTTTTGGATAAATAAAGTCAAACTACACAGAAACACCGGCTTAGACTACTTGATCATGTTTTACGTATGAAATCCTGATATTTTGACAAAGGAATACAGATCACGAAACTTCCCAAGATCTCATAACAAGTATAGACAGGTTGTTTTAAGTAATTGAAATATTCACCTTGTGAAGATGATCACAATAATTCCATATCTGGGTTGGTTCGGCTACCTATACGTATATAAACACATTCGGGCATTAGCACTAAACCTTTCACTGCATTCTTTTTATTTTCTCATTATATAGCTAGCTATATATATAGTGGAATGTCAATAATGTTTAGAGTGACAAACGGGGAAGAGGACTTCAAAAGTATATGTCACTGGTAACTGCTTTTAACATTCCATCGTCCATTCTCGAATATGTCTTAATTACTTACAATAATCTTACAATTATTTTAGGTAGTAAAAATCTTGTAGATTAATCTATATCGAATTTCCATCTAATCAGGTATACAAAAGGTAGATTTATACTTACATTTAGAGTATCCTAAATCGTCTCACTAGTTTATCGCAAAGTTTCACTTTTAATGTTAGTTGAATCTAAGAAAAAAACTTTTTTAAACATACTTCCATTTGATCTTGTAGCAATGGATTCAAAGGATAATAAGTTGGAGAGATATTATTTGCAGATTGTTTGGCTAAACATTCCAGAAAGGGAGAATGCAATGGCACGTGAATAAGGTTAGATGTGTCAATTAGTTGAGTTTCATGCAATTGCATAGCACGATGTATTCGTTCCAACCACAAGACAGCTAACTGACTACCTGGAGTATCTGGATGCAATAAACCAGCATGATGTAAACGCCTACACGCCGGATGTTCTTGAGGTAATAGACTTTCAACCTGCATAGTGAAAACAAAAATTATATATATATATATATATATATATATATATATATAGATAGATAGATAGATAATATATGTGTACTTTATACCTAATCTATAGTGTACCTAATACAGGATACAAATTAAAATTCTATTACCAGTAAACACTTTTTAGCAAATCACCTTTGAACATTGGTAAACCAATGTGTTCTTTTTGCATTGCGGTGGGCTTTCTCTCTTTACAGATGAATGAATCAATAACCAGTATGACAAAAAGTTTCAGTTGTACAAATAAATATCCCTCAATTTACAGAATAGTTGAATGGAATCAATTTACCATACTCATATTATGCTACTAAAACATAGAACATTGAAAAAAGAACTGAATAGAAAGCTTAGACGATCTTTATTGAAATATTGTACAAAAATATTAAAACAATATTAATTGTTTTAATAAATGCGCTCTCAGTGATGCCCTAATGGCTAAAAAGCAGTTGATCAATCCAAATACAGCTTCACTTTATTCGGTTGTGAAAGAAGCTTGGTGCTTTTGCAAACTATTATTAACTCTCTTAAGCATACACAGTATGATAGAGATGAGTACTTAGATCAGGTACTAAGTAGTGAGTGAATAAAAATTGAAACTTGAATTTATGTAACCTTAATGGGTTTAAAGAAATGATTGTTTAAATGGTAATGCATAATGATAATACATCATTTTCATTTAGATCGTAATTTTTCCTCAAACAATTTCTTTAGAAATAGATTTCTATCAATCATTAGGTTAACAGTAAGTTAAAGCATTCAAATTTTAACAATTAAGTTTAAAGTTCGAAACCTGTCACAAACAACCTCAATTTACGTCAATGAGTCGTAGTATTTTTAAACATCTCAACCAAAATGTTATTTGAATAAATTTTAATTTGGTAAATAATTTCCACTACTACTACATTTTTGGTAAAATGTACAAAATGGGATCAGATCAACGACATTCATGTAAACTTACTTTGTAAGCCAACAAACCAAGAAGATAACCAGCACGAGTAGATGTTACTTGATTTGAATCGGAAACTGCACGAATCAGAGCCTGAAAAAAAGGAAATAAAATCATTAATATTTCCACATAGATTGGTACACAACATTGTCCTCACACTGTATTATGTGAACTGATAAGTTTAAAGAAGTTAATTAGATTATCAACTATTAAACAAAAGTAATTGTATGTTCTCAAGAACTAACATAGAAGTTAAATAATCCGCAATTTTCGTGAGTGAGATCAATAATGTAACTATGTAAAACTATTTGTTAATAATTTAAGAAAATCGACGTTGAATGACTGAATAGAAGTTTATTGGGTAAGACTATAATTTACGGAACATCTTTGAGCAACGTTAAAATGATCTTAAAATGTCCACCTACTGACCAGGGTTAAATGAGGATTATATATTAGTGTGAGGAATAAGAATTAGGATTTACAGTTGAACGTTAGGATTAGGAATTAGATTTAGTGTTTTGATCACGAACTAACATCAGCTACCATGTCCAAATGGTATTTAGCCAAATGAGCAGATGAATCCCGCGCCAATATCCAAAACCTACTATCTTAAATGTGATTGATTCGTCTATAAATTATAGTCCCATCGTTCATTGCTAACTACTAAGGATTTTACATTAACGTAGCCAATAATTCGAAACAAATTCGATCAGTTTTCAATGGCATATGGATTTACCTGAACAGATGACACGATTTCGTTAGCATTTGCATTTGAAGTGAAGCTACAAATTTAATATTCATTGCTATACATACTGGAACTGTAAACCGGGATAGATTATAACTTAGGCTACTGAAAATATGTACTATGAGTCGAACATATAAGACAAGCATCAAGTCCCACATTAAAGACACAACACTAATCTATTCATAATACAACGGAAATTAACAAAAGCAGTTGGAATTATTATATTTCAACAACAGCACGAAGAGATTAATTTAACAAGACAAATACTAAAGGAGTTACATAATAATCTAGCAGCAACAATGATGAGGATGAGTTCGGAAAGATAGAATGCAGGAATACTGGAACTGAAGATCTAGAGGAAGATTGAGAACGAATGCATTAAGACCGATTATGAACCATGTCAATCAATGTCGTCAACCACTAATCGTGGTAATAGTGTGGGTTCCAACCAGGTAGCCTGTAACTATCAATAATGCCCCACATATTTAACTAACAGCTTGTCATGTTGACACAAATTTTTATTAGCTGTTGTCCATAATTGTGTTGTCGTTGTTTGGACATTTATCCTGATTGCCGTCTACTCTGGGCAGCTCACTGACCTTAGCCTTGAAGTTGCTTACATTTTTCATGACCATCTATCAGCTGACTCCAAACATTTAACCAAAAATTAAAGCTATAAATAATGATTCTCGTCGCAATAACCTTGCAACTGGTCAAACATATTTCCATAAATATCCAAACAAGCTTTGAGTCAAAAATATGTTTACTGAAAAGTAAATACGAGTGTACTAGTTTCTAGGTATTAAATTGATTGCGTCTTAGTAAATCCGAGCCTACTTTTAGTAAATTTGGTAAATAAGTTATTACTATTATTAATAAGTGTTAATCGATATATATAATGATTCAGGTTAACTTTACATACATAAAATGATCACATATTTATAGATAAACTGAGAAGATTCGGACTGATTTGCATTTCACACTGTTATAATAACCAAATAAAAAGACAGAAAAAATTATACAATCTAGGCAAAAGTTAAATGGGAATATTAAGCGAGAGAGGTAGTTAACACAAGTAATTAAGTTAATAATACCACTGCATATTTATACACGTACATACATAAATACAAAAAACGAGATCAAACACACACCTCGTATAATCCAGCTTGAATCAATGTAGCAAGTAATATGGCATAATAATTATTCATTAAATCAATTCCAATAGAATCGTATTTAGTTAACAGACGACAACCTTCTGCAGGAATGAAATCACCTTCAATATTCCAAGCACTAGATGACGATGATGAAATACACCTTACTGGTAATATTGAGAATAGACGTCGTGAAGAACTGTCCAAATATGAACATGACATCTCATTGCGTAAATAATCACTTCTCTTCCCTGGTGGACTCGATAGATTTATTACAGGCAACAAAGAGAACGAACCAGTAGACAATGCTTCAATAAGACCCAGTATGGTTGGTTCTAATTCCTTGACAGATGAATGAGGTATAGGTATTGTTGGGAATAAACCATATAATAAGCTTAATATTTGGTTCTATGGAATAAAGAGAAAAACGAAAATAAAATGAGTTCAACACTTTAATGCAAGAAATAACCCTTTATCTATTTGCGTTGCATTTTCTGAGATGCATCATTCATCTCAAAAATAACATCAATATCCTTATTCTTAGATACAAGTATACTTTATGATCTCACTCCATGATCATTAATTTAAAGTTACAGCTTAGTGGAAAAATAACAGTCGGATAATCGATGTATCTGTGTTCGAACATTCTATTAATTATACTAATTTTCTGTGTCCGTTGATTGCTTTTTTCTGTGACATTGTACGAATTATAGCAATCTGAACAGGCGTTTTATTGTGTGCTTACTGTTGTATTTACTATCCGTCTAAACATACATGTCACTCCAGACTATACACACTGAATCAGTCAGTTAATCATGAACAATGCAGCGCCGACCACAACTGCATATCTAAGTCATGTTAAATAATTAGTTATCAGTGCAAAGAGTACAGAAATTAGCAAGTTGAGACTTAGTGAAGGAAACATGATTATATCCATTCGGATAAAAAGCTGAATATAGAGAAGCTGTAATTCAAAAGGGAAGAATACAATTCAAGAATGAAGTGAAGGATGACATTAGGCTTAAGGTTTTAAGGAAATAGCTAGAATCACTAACCTACATGATATAGGAAGATTTGAATTGCACTATAAAGTCAGAAGTCTGAGTTTCACTACACCTACCTATATCTGAGTGGCAAGGTAGTGAAATAACTCTCACCGTAAATATGAATCCACAAACTAATCAACAAAGATCACTGGGTCCTCCTCTTGTTACCATTAGCGATAATAAAGCCAGTCCCAGCATTTCTTTACCAGGTCTATATGAAATCTAACCTTAAGCAAAAACATGAGGTGCAAACGATTTTAATCCAGAAACTTAACTGGCAAAAACTTATATATAATACAAGTTAGTGTATTTACATTGGTTAAATTGGTAGCTATAGTGTAACTGAAAATAAGTTTTTAGTATATTTTATCAAGTGAATAAAAAAAATCTGATCAAACAAGTTAATATTTTCCGACAACTCACTCTAATTTCTGTATTACCAACAGCCAACGTATACAGTAAAGTTTGTAAAGTTGGGAGACCATCATGAATAAAATGGAAAATACCTATTAATAATAAAATAGAAATAAAGGCTTTAATGAAAAATAACAAATATGTGTTTTCATTAAGCTATATATTATGTGGTTAAGCTGTACATCCAAAAAACTATGTATTGTATTAGAATAGCTAACAGTCAGTCACAAAAAATGTAGAACCTGCCAAATATATGCATTGGTTCAAATTGCAACACAATAACATATCGAAATGAAATTAACAAGAAAAATCAGTGTAATAGGAGTAATAACAACAGTGATGGTAAAAGAAGACTATATGGTTCGAGAAGAAAGGATGAATGACCTGGTAGCTTTTACTTAATAACACGGTTTAATTCAGCAGTCAATAACTTCATGAGCTGATACTATAACTTGGTAAAAACTATGAAAAACCGTTTTTAATTACCACTAAATAACGAAAATACTAGAAAAGAAAACTAAAAGATCGAATCAAACAAAGACATAGTTGAAAGCAATTCGCAAATGTGATACCCGAGCACACACTACAAATAAACAATACAAGAACAATACTACAATACTCCTAAGTTGTGATTGAAAAAACGAACCATGACAACTAAGTATAGCTATTAAATTGTAAAGAGAAAGTTAACAACTGAGTAATATTGTTACAAAAGAGGGCTCTATGACTTGATGAGACGAAACTTTTGGTTGATAGGTGGATAAAGTGAGGATTGATAGATAAACCTCGATGATACGTACTGATCAAGTGGTTGCTGTTGACGAAACCAATTCACTGACGGATCACCACCCCCTCAATGCTTTAAGATCAAAAGCAAGAGCACCAGACGGAGGAATAGGTTTTCCAATGCCATAAAATGACATAGTTAGTGTTACTTGAGGTAAACAATTTACAAATGTAATACTAATCAAGACAATAGTAATATTCGCCATTTGACACTCGCGCGTTTAACATTAAGAATAAACGAAATGTTATCCAGCTAACTGCGAAAATAAAACGACTAGAACCCTTCATTTTATTGAGAACAAGGACTATCCAGTTTACATGGACTGCAAAATATAGTGTTTTACACATCAACGCAATAACCACGGGAATGCTATTAACATTGGTACCGTTTAGTTTAAAATTGATCAATAGTATATCAAGAACACAAAGAATAATATTTGGTATTTTCTTTAGATATAATGTTACTTCTCCATCCTTAGTAGGATAAGAATAGTTCTGGGTATGTTGCATCTATGATTTAGTATAATCAAACGGAAATTAGGATATTTTTTCTTCTATTCCTCCGTCCCTCTCTCTTACTCCCTCTCTAAGACTAAACATTGTGGTCTGCAATAATAATAATTTATGTCTTCATTGAATTAAGAGGAGTGTAGGCCTGTTTGACAGGTATTATGAAGAGGGCAACAAAATTTTCCAAAACAGCTTTGCGTTATTGATTTCTAGAACAATGGTGTTCGAAGCAAACCATAAAAATGAAAAATTCAATCTTCGGTAGGGCTTTAAGTACACACTGATGAGAAGTGGTATACACTAGGAACGAAACAGCTCTGTCAGCTGTTATCAATTGAAACAATTCTCCAAATGATTTTAGTTATTTAACACAATTTAGGAAATATACTCCAAAAAAGTGTCAACGAAACCATTAGACTGAGAGTAATATTATATTTTATTAAGTCGTCAAAAAATAATAATACTTAAAAGCTACTATTTGATTCTGTTAATTAAAAGAAAAATATTGACAAGTCTAAAAGAACAACTATGGTGTATGGAGAGCACTACTCACTAGAACCCTATCTATCTAACAATCATATTCAGAAAGTATACAGAACTCATAAACAGGATATATTATCCGATAGCCATGACAAGAACAAAACAATAAATTCAAACCGGTCTATGCTTTAGCTTAATGAACTTGCAGTTCGCATATCCTCTAATAGTTGTTAAATAACTTTTAACAATGTTTATTCGTGTATTCAATATTTTATACATAAGCGTGCTATTTTGTCAAAGGCGAAACCTATTCTGTCTTGACTTCGTATGTCAGTTCAATTGACGTCAACAATTTGATCTCGTGAGCAGTTGTCACTCGATGTGTCGATCGGTATTCAATTTCACTTTAACAATTACAAACCTTTTTTATGTAACAACCTCTAATTCATAAAATATATAATTTTAGATAAGCGATTATTCATGCAAATTTGTATCAATTCAAAAAGCTGTTTGTTTTGAATAGACACTACGAAAAATGGTACATAACAACTGAAAAATCAGAGTTTTGAACAGTTCTTGAATCGTCTTTAACGATCATATTTAATAGTGTCTATTCACAATTAAAAATGAGAGATCGAATATGGATTCATGATAAATGTGTATCGAATAAATCATGAATTATGCTTTATTCACACAAGATGACAGAAAGGAAAATTAACTCTAAAAAACAAAATCGACGGTACCGAAATACATATAGCTTAAATACGTCCATAATATTATTAAAATCATCACACATTAAAAGAACAATAAAAAAATGAATACAGAAAATTGCATGGAAACTTTACCTGGCCATGAACGAAGGAGAAGAATTAAACAATTTCTAGCACAGATTGGAAATGAAGGATATCTATCATCGCAATCCAGTGAGAATCATATTAACAGAGAAAAAAGAGAGAGAACACAAATAACATCATATAACATGTCAAAAAGTGCTGATTAAAGCTTTAAATTTTTAAGCACTAGTTTACAGAAAAGGAAAGGAAAGTTAATCAGACTAAACGCACAGAATGAGTTTAGATATACCTGTTTTTTTTATTTCGACAATTATCGGTCAACAAATCAAATGAAAAACAATTTTGTTACAATATGTCAATAACCATTATCATAGGAACCAAGAAATACAGAAAGTATGCCATTCCAAACAGCGACTTTGGTAAACGTTTAAAGTCCATGAATTTATATCATTTATTTCCACAAACTGAGTGTCCTATGAAGGAATATAAATGGTCTTTGATTGATGTATTTTAAGTCAAAGGTTTTTTACCAGTATAGGGGTTGTGGAGATTATTAAGTTTTTATCGTACCGTCACCTTTTGGTTTTCTCGAAATTCAAGATTTATATTTGTCTGTGTTTGGATAGTTTATTTACCCAATATCCTATTAGAATACGCTTTTTTCACCCAAACAAAACACATGATTCTCACTGTCAGCTCAACGGAAACATACAAACATATAACTACGATAAACTGATTGTGTATAATTATAAAAAATAAACACGTTTGAAATTCAATAAGGAATAGAGACGCATAGTATTTTAACTCAAAAGCATACTTTGATGCTATAGAATGAATTTATTGCTGATTTTATTTTCGTGAATCCTGGCATAATTTAAAAGAAAATACATAATTTTATTTATTGTAATAAACTCACACATTGAAAGGTAATTTCGATCGGGGCAGCAAATATGATGGAGATGTGAAAGTAACGAAGAATTTCTGCAATTTAGTTTTTTGATGGGAGAAGAATAGTGAAAATACATTACAAATATTTTTAGAAAGCATAGAAGGCACATGATAAGTGTTTGGTAATAGTCTAAAAACTATACCCCACAATAATACAATTATTAATAAATTCATTATTTATGCACTTCAAGGTAACGGAATACTATGGCTGAGTGATATGAGTTAGAACTATAGTGGTTTAGTGGTAAAAGTGAGTTGACATTCAACCGTTGAATTTCTAAATCGGTTATATATCACAATCGACTGAGTAGGCTGAGACATGTGCCATATATCCCTAGCAAACGCCTATTTCGACACATAACATTGGAACAGGTCGAAGTAGACTTCTTATTTGAGGTAACTTTAATCAATGGTTTAAGAAACTGGGTGACATGAAACGAAAATGATAACAGTGGGACAAATGAATCATCAGCTAGATCTTGAATTTCAGTGCTATTACATACCTTTTATTCTGTAAATTCATTTAATCTTTCTGAATTATGTTCTCCATGACTAGTACAGTTTATACTATCATTGACACTAATATTACTAATCTGAGCTTTTTGTTATCTACGTTGTTAATGCTGACTTGCTTTGTTGATGTGGTGAGGCGACTTGGGATGATATGCAAACATACTGAGTCCTAAGTTGAATATGACGACCTGCATAGTTCATTTAAACAATATTTAAGCCTACTTTGATTTGGGTGACCGGTAATTTATCACTAGCCCTCATACTCGAGAATGCGGCTAAAATCCCTGTACATAAGTTGGGATTTCATTAAGATTATTTTCTTACTACACAGAAGAAAACAAATATTGATAATTATCAATTAAGGTTAGTAATTTGTATTTTATCAACTGTTATAACCATAGTCTCTAGTAAGTGTGTCGCTTTAATTATAGACCACACTTATCATGGCTAACAGAAATATAAAGTAACGATTACATAAGAACAATTCGGTTAATCAGATTTAAGTAACTAACATCAGATTACATGATAAAAACGAATTATAGGAACGACCTTGAGCGACACATTAACAAATCAAGAAATAATGTTTGCTTATGAAACAAATATTGATAAACAGCACTAAACTTTCAGTAGATAAATAGTTTTAATATGATTAATGAACTCTTCTGTGTTGATTTATTTATTTTAGTAAACAAAGAGACGATCAAGTTAGGTATCAGAGGTCAGGAGAGTGTTGTGAGTTAGGGTAAGGAGGGTTGGATTGGGAAAATAATTCCTATCCACATAAATGCCCTTGAACAAGCACACAGTTAGATAAAGTATAGCTTATAGATCACGTCACATACACTATGGAACTCGATATAAACCAGTCTTACTTAGTTCTTAATTAGATAAATGCTATACTTCCCTGCGCCTTCAAATTTAGCACAAGAATCGGGGAAGGGATATCTCAAAAATGATTGGCTCACACAAGGTCATCAGTACACTGAGGTTACATCTAACAATTTTTGTACAACGCACACGTACACAGTCTGTGCGCCAAAACTTCCCAATTGCACTGATCTATAAACAAATAGCGCAAATAAAAATAGTCAGGCATCACAGTCAATACTATTTTGTAATAAAATAGTGTAAAATATTTCATTATTAAATAGGCATTAATATCAACTGAATGATTGAATCAGAAGTTCATGACATTCTTTTACTAGAGCATAAATCACCAGTTTATTCATTTACATATTTAATACAGATAAATACTGGTACAATAGAGCACCGAAATAAACATGCGACACACAAATAAGAAAACTTGATTGTGGAGAGATAAATGAAGTGGGGAGTAAGGAATAGAATCAGAAAGAAGTGAATGAATAGCATAATATGACTAGGAAGAATACTTTCAAATAAAGAAGTTCCTCTTATTTATTTATTTTGAAGACTACTAAACGACATTACAGCAGGATCTCCATCAACCTCCGTTCTGAGTCATGCCTGTTGACGTCTCAACCCACTGTGTTGCACAATCTCTAGGACCCCAACTAGATAGTCGTGAAGGACCGACAGATCCCAGTCCTATACTGTTTTCCCCCCTTACCACTGCGTCATGCCATGAACTGACCACTTATCACCCTTTTCCAACCAGTCCCAGAGTCGGAAAGTAATCAACAATTTAGAATTCACTGGGGGTGATATTCGTAATATATGTTCAAGCCACGGAAGCTGGTGTTTCGAGATGTTGACACCAAGTGAGTTATCTTCACTGCACCCAAATACACATCATTAAACCTCCGTATTGGTAACAAGACGTGACTTCCGGACGTCAGCTATCTTTCGATGACAATGATGATGGGAAACAAAGTCACCGAATATCTTCAACCCAGAGGTCAGTGTTTTGTAGGTATAGAGCAGGATCGCTCTCACCGAAATGTTGCAACGTCAACTTTTTAAAGCCAGACTAACATCACAATGGGCCCAAAGATGACCCAGATTGGTGTAAGCTGCTTTACCTCACATTATACGTAGCGTGATCTCACTTGCCACGCCACCACCAGCACACACACAGCTGCCTAAATACACAAACTTTCCGACTACTTCCAAAAACTCATTACAGAAAGTAACTGAAGGCTCAAGCTCCTACCAGCCTTGCAGAAGTACTTGGCCTCTAAAAAGTGCTAGTCACGGGCCGCACTCACAAGTGAGATTTGCATGACTTACCAATTTATATTGGTATTCAACTCAATTGTATATAAATTAAAAATACAATATGCAAGATATATCTTACCGAAATAAGACTATTAGGTAAAAGTTGTGTACACTCTGAGCGATTAAGAACTGTAATCAACGACAGAATAACAGCTTCGTGAATACGTGATGAATGATATGTATGCATTGTACTATTATTGAACACGAATGTAGTCATTAAAGCTTGAATTATAATTTGTCCAATGAATGGAAACAATAACAGTAACTTTTCTTTGATTCCATTATCAATTGAAACGTTCAACTTGTTATTATCACTATTATTATTATAATAATAAAACTGTCGATGATTGTTGGCATGATCGACATCATGATGGTGACAATAATAGTAGTGGTAATAGTAATGGTAATAATTGGAATAAGATAATTTAATTTTCGAATGATTAACAATTGAAGGATTTGTGCGTACAACTAGACGTTCTAGGGCTAGAATAACTAGAAAAAGAGAAGACAACGATTGTTAATTATTTGCAAATAAAATATATTCAAGAAAAAAGGATATTTTCCTGTTGTTTATGAAACCAGAATTAATTCATCAAGGTCACACGATATTTAACTCATTCGTTCATTTGTCAGGTGCAGATTGGGGTATCTGGAGTTGAGCTACACTCTAAGTATGATGGGCTAGTGATATTACCCGATTGTTCAAACCGAAATACATGCGTTAGGGTTCGAGTCCACGACTAGGTAGATGGAAGTTGAACATTTTAACTACTGAGCCATCACTCTATCACTTAAACTAAAGGCAATACAAATAAAAAGATTATTTAAAGAGATGAATTGCATAGTTGAAGCACTTGATATCGGATCACTGATTCACCTTAATCACTTCGGATTACACAGTTAGATGATAGCAACACTCTATGGAACTATTGTGGTTCGAAATTAAACCCGTCATTAAAAAGTGATATCTTATCATGAACCAAAGACTAGAAAATGCTGCTAACTACTACAACGCTGAGTAAACAGTCAAGAATTAGGCCTGATAGTCAAGTCCTTATTCCACTGATGGGTGACCGATCGACCAATCAGAGTCACTGTTTTACAACCACCTTTTTCTCAGATGACACTTGCTAATATTTGTTGTAATAATATTCAATACATAACTGTATAATTTTTTTAAAGAAAAAGCCTTGTTAGCTAATCAATTGTAGTTTATTACGACCTTAGTTTACGTTTGGTGAGTTGTGTTAACAATTAAGCCTGAGGTATCGTTACGATGTGACCACATGATCTAAACTGGAAATCAACAATCAGTTCGTTTAAAAAATAAAAAATCCCGAAATTCAGCCCAGAATAGTAACTTAATTGTTAAAGTACACAACATATGACGAATATCTTGAGTGTACATGCTCAAGGTGGCTTCAAAAAGTGCAAACTACTTTAGTGACTTCCTAAAGTATCAGTCAGTCAGTAACAACGTAGAAATTCGTACGTACATACATCAGTTAGAGTTGCCGTACCACATTAGCACAGAGATACAACTGTCGATTCAAATCTCATAGTAGTAGAGGTACTAAGAGTATAAACAGTAATCCGAAAGATTAGGGTTTGAAGGTGTTATTCAAGGAGTATAATACAGTGAAATAAATTTGGAAAGACAAAAAATGGACACCAAGAATTCAGAAGATTAGAATTTGGGAGAACACAAAGAGTGGATGCACCTGCTCCATTGCAAACGATTTTGAGCCATGTCATTCACGGTCTCTAACTATCGGTCGCTATCATCTCGCGGACCCCAACCAGGTAGTCTACACCTACCAACACGGCTCAGTCCACTTGTCAGTGACTTCATAGATTTGTGCCATGTTTTGGTCTAGCCACCCCTAGCTTTCTTCCAACCCACTTCTACAACAGAAAGCATCGCAAGTTGGGGCAGTCAGTGGTTGAGCATACATAACACGTGTCCCAGTCATCTCAACTGATAAAGCTCCAATACTTCATCAATTAATTTGCCACCCTTACCTAGTACCCGTTTCCTAACAACTGCGTTACTTACTCGGTGGTCCCAGGATATACGAGCAATGCTTCGAAGACACCTTTGATCAAATACTAGTAACCTACGAATTTCCTCTTCACTTACCGGCCGTGTTCTACTGCCATAAAGTAGGACGGAACGAACTGCTGCGCAGTAAACCCGTCCTTTGGTTGGTAGACGGATATCTTGCCTACGCCATAAATGACGCAAGTTGGCAAAAGCTAGTTGAGCCTTCTGTATCCATGCTGAGATTTCGTCACACACCAGACTACAATGGCTGATGAGACTTCCGAGATAAGTGAAGCGGTCGACACCCTCGACTACTTTACTCCCTATCACTAGTTTGGGTGACGATGAAAGTTAAACAAGAATGGAGAGAGTGGACAGCCCTGACGAACACCACTTGAGGTAATCAATTCTGATGACAGTTCACCATAAGCTCTCACTCGACCAGTTGTGTTCGAGTAGAGCCTTTATAAGGTTAATGTACTTCTTTGATACTCCTTTCAGTGACAGACACTGCCATAGAACATCACGATCAATAGAGTCAAATGCCGCCTTAAGGTCGAGAAATACTACGATTATGAAGCGTCTGAATGTATGTCTATGTTCTAGGACCTGACGTAGTGTGAATATCTGGTCTATACAACCACGTCCAGGTCGAAAACCAGACTGATTTTCTCCAGTCTGTTCTTCACGAGCTTTGGTTAGGCGTCGAAGTATTATTGAAGCTAATACTTTAAACACTATATTAGTCAAACTGATTCCTCTGTGACCGTCACAAGAGGACCTTTGTCCCTTCTTATAGACTGGCACAATCAGTGATTGAGACCAGTCAGATGGGGTTACGTCCAGTTCCCAGATTCTACCTAAGACCTCAGTAAATCTCGCTGCTAAAACTGGACCGCCATCCTTAAAAATCTCAGGGATAAACCTGTAAGGGCCTGCTGCTCTCCCACACTTCAGATTCCCTAAAGATTTTCCAACTTCGTAGAGTCAGAGGACTTACCTAAAGTATATCATTCTATGATAAAATAGTGTGACGAACTCAAGAGATAAAACTATACAGACGAGGAATTCGTAAAGCATTAAGTACATATCTGGTAGTTAAATGAGTTATGTCTATTTTTATTCGTTTGCTATGTACTTTAAAAACTTGCTGAGAGTGAACTATATATATATATATATATATATATATATATATATATATATATATATATATATATATATATATATATATAGAGAGAGAGAGAGAGAGAGAGAACTGAAACGACCTCATCTTAATACAGTCATGTTGCTTCGGCACATGTGATTTTACAGGATACCAGCTTTCTAAGTACGACTCTTTTTCCATTATCTCTGTCCACTTCTTATTATGCCAGTACGTATGCGATTACTGATGAAATTAGTGTGAATATTAATTTGCATAAGTAAAAAATGATATAATAGATTTGCCAGACTTATTATTTAACGCATTTCTTGTTTATCAAAAAACGATAGCATCAACTACAATACAAACATACTAAAACGTGTGACAAAACGACAATATCTTTTTGAAATTTTATTTAATACAAATATGTCCCGGTACAACTAATGAAAGTATACGGGCAATCCTTTAGAGGTATAATTATGGCAACGAAAACTAGTCCGAGTCCAATTCTATTAATCAACAAACGGGATAATACAAAAGCTTAACGAGTAAAAATCAAACGCGTTGAAAAAGCTAACAAACATCTGGACTTAGTAACTGAAAGAGGCAATTATTTATGGAACAAGTTACTATTCTTTCATTGATGCTGAATCATTATTAGTGAATAAATTGAGGACATAACTCACTAATTTCTAGATTGATTTATTCAGAGTTGAGACTCACAGTAGAGTGCAAATTTACTGAATACTGATTAATGAAAATAAAATCTTAGTAAAATAAAAGAATTTTCATGAAATTAAGAAATAAATTAATCGAAACATGGTAAAACAAAAATAAGCAATAAATGTTTTTTTTAGTTTAGAAGGTATAGACAGCCAAATCAAAACGCTCACCTAATTCAGCAAGAATTAGTAAACAACCCCGGATAGTTGTATCTAGCTCCAGATCATTAAAATCATTTATTTTAACTTTTGCTTCTCCAAAATCTCCAATACGACAAGGACGATTTTGAAGTATATGACGTGATACAACTGCAGGAGCTCCCACACCTGATGCCGCATGAGCATCTCCTTTATTACTAGATTCATTTGAATTAGCAATCAAATGACGACGAACTTCTAAACAAGGAGCAGCAACAGCATGAATTATACTTGGAGGAATTAATCGTGGTGTAAGTTGAGTGAGGTAGTAAATCAAACGCAGTACAATTTGGCGCTCACCAATAGAAGACAGAAAAGGCGGTGAGGAATTTCGAGTTGTTATAGTTGATTTTATAGGATGATCAGTATCCGAAAAACGAGGACGAGAGAAACCTATCATAATGATTTTTTAAAAAGTATTCCAAAAAAAATTAATATACAAGAAATTATTATCATCAATTTATGTTTAACGACCCATTCCCTGATTGGGAGCGTACAAACCATTAATAAAACCGATAATCCAGAAACAATGACGCGAAAATTACCAGTCAGTCATTATTGACATAGAGCCTACAACACCATCGACCAATTCCCCACCTTTCTCCATTAACCTCCGTCTAATCTTAAATTTACTTACTTGATCGTTTCACGAAGCACAGGCAATACTTCGAAGAAACATATAGTCAAAAAAGTTGTGGCCATAAAAGAATACAGAGTAAACTACTGAGCAATATGCGACCGCTTTAGTTGGTAGACAGATATATTCTCTACTCTACAAGTGATGAAAGTTCCCAAAGGTCAACCAAACTTTCATACCTGTGCTGAGATTGTCGAAATTGTGGTTGATTGGTAGTATCAAGAAGACAACATGCTACTTGTATAAACCAGTGTCTTTTCTAAGTTAATGAATGACTTTAGGTCGTTATATTGCCCAACTAGTTTGATCGACTATTAGAAAACGTACATCAATCACATTACTTCCACTGTGCTAAGACCTCGGGAAAATATTCCTAACACCACGCGCAAAAAGAAGATTCATTTATCTTTATTTACCACCCAACTGAACAGTTATCTAAAGGAATTCAAAAAGCTATAAACAGGAGCTGACTTCTAAAAAAATAGTAATAAATAACTGTTATATAAATAAATTATTATCAATCTCGTTTAATTTCAATAAATACTTTCCATATAAAATAAAATTTATTAGCCTTGGTTTTTATGACATGAATTCTGTCCGTAGAGCTTTAGGCAAAACTTTTACAAGAAAAAAAAAAGCAAAACACTTTATGTGCATTCATCACTTAAACTAGCGACACAATTTGATTTTTACTAGTACAATTACAACGATACCCAAAAGAACTATTGTACTATGATTCTCTAAATATTGTTGATTTTAATTCTCGTTTTTCTTCTATCGTGTTCTGTTTTGACATATTTTGTAGCTTTTATTTTATACTAAATTATGATGATCATTATCATTTTTACCATTTCAATCGCTTATATATCTCTTATCACTAGGCATTTCCCAATACAACTAACTCTCAGATCTCCACATCATTAGTCTTGTTTATATATATATATATATATATATATATATATATATATATATATATATATATATATCACTGGTCGTTAGAATTATACCAGCTCAAACAAGTAAAGATTGTTTAATGTCTCCTTTACAGAGTCCATTGCAAAGACGTGAGATTATAAATTATATCAACTAAGCATCTTGTTGCATGATTAGATAAAGAATTTGAAAAGATTAATTTTTTTATGGTATTAATCATTTCCGTGTATAGATTCTTATCATCGAATTTGACTAACGATGTTCATTTGAGGGGTTAATACTACAATCCAGCAAACCAAAGCCGAAGTAGGTAGAGCGTAGTTTGAACATGAAAGATAGGTGCTCTAAGCACTAAGACAGACAGATCATATTCATCAAGCTATGATAGATACCTAAAGAGCCGTATGTTAGATTATTCAAAATAAAGCAAATCAATTAGTAGAGATGTCAAAATGTTTTCTTTATAATCACATCTGAGAGTGAGATCACATTCACCCATAAAACTCCCTTCAAAATTCAACAATCAACCAAATATTAGTTGACCTTGTCTCCTATTTCTAATGTTTCATTTTTAAGTGCTTTCTAGGAGAGTAGTATCCTTAGCTATTGTATCGAAAACCAAGCTCAAAGTCGATCACACGAATCTGTACTTTGTAAGTGAATTACATTAAATTTAGTTTGTGCTCGGATTGTGTGAAACGCATAGAAAAAATAACTCATGAGGTCTCAATCAGGTTATGGATTCCATATTCACATAGCCTCTCTCCACTAACAAACATATGGCAAGCTAACAACCGGTTTATTTAGCTAGTAATTAGGTTTGACTTTTATTAGCTGAAAATGACTGTGGTCTGGGACTGCTTGTTATACTGAAATATTTATCGACACATTGAAAGTTCTATACAAAGGTAACTTAAACAATATTAGAGTACATAACTGTTTAACAGCTTTGCTCCCTACAGATAGTATTGCTAAACTAGGTTGTCTGATCTAATCACTTCAAAAACACTTTATGTTTATAGTGACAGTGAAGACTTGTAAGTTGAAGGTTCTTCATATTTGAGTAAGCCGACAGTATCTCATTGTGCAATTATATGCAGACAACTCAAACTTCACCTAATCGATCGGTGATCAGTATCCATAGTGTTTCAACAAGGCATTAGTTACCTATATAAAATTAAGAGAAGTTTTTGCATCCATCGATCTCGGTAGTGAACTACTCACCATATTGAGAAGTTTGTGTCTAGATAGGCATCTAAGAATTATTGGTAGTGTTGAAAACAGGACAATGTATATATCAAACCCCCCAACTTTTTATTATCACATCGATTCGGATATAAAATGCCTATGAGTATGATTTTACAGACTACGTAATCAAATGGCTTGGATACGAAGCAAACCCGAACTTAGTAAAGACTATGTCATTTTCTTATATTCTACATAGACAGCAAGATACTCTTTTGACAAATGAAACCTATTCTGGTTCGAAGGGCTGGTTTTGATTACTACTATCAGACTTATTATCATTATCATTTTCCCTGCTCGTTTTAAAACCTATTGAAACATCATTTCGCATAGACCATTGCTTAACACCCAATCGTTAAGTATACTATCACATGAAATAGCCAAATAGCACCATATAGAATACGAAATAATCAAAACTAACATAAAACAATGTAACATACGGGTAGCATTTGTCCCTTTTAATAAGACTCCAGAGGATTGATAATGATCTTTAATTAGCTGATGATTTGATGATTCTTCACTCAACTGGTAAGATGAAGAATAACACGTAGAACTGATTGGATTTGATGTGACAAGGAATTTAGTACGCGGATTATTATTTGCCCTTGAGGTAGCCGAAGAATTTCCAGACAACCCATTTGATAAAATAAACTTTGTGGGATAATAAGATAAGTCCATACATCTACAGTAAAGTTTTACAAAAAACATACACAATTGACATTTTATCTGATATTTAATATGTGCATATAGAAACATTTTGATCAACAATAGACACATTTATTTTTGCAAAGCTTCAATATTAAGATTACACCTCATAGACAGTATTAGTTTACTGAAAAATTTAAATGTATGCGATTCAAAGCAACAATTAGTCCAAGTATAGTTTTGGAATCTCGTGGAAAAAAATCAAAGTTTTTAAACGACAAGTTAAATGATGAAGAGACTCATAGCTCAAGAGGAGGATTTGGGAGGTACTGTGTTCTCTGAGTTGGACCATTTAATCACGTTTTCTTTGTCCTTCTGAACATTACCAGCTCCTAATAAGGAATGAAGTGAGCTTTAAGAATTTCTTGATAATCGACAAACAAATTGTTCTGTTGAAACTAATATTGATTGTTGTTCTTAATTGTATTGCCGCTGTCTGCAAATCTATTTTTATTGTCTTTTTTGTGGACCAGATAAACCAAATTCTTATACTTATGAATAAAACCTTTTAGGTACTTAGTCATGTCAAAAAAGGAAATTAAGTGCAAACAGAACAGCGCGCAATCGTTTATAAATACCAGAGACTTGAATCTTATTTTGAAATATTTAAAACTCACCGAGCAATCAATAGATCTAGACGACATTCCAAGAGTAGCTCGACATCAACGCTGTTATGTACATAATAACGAAGGCAACGTAAAGCTGCACATCGCAGTGAAGGGTTGTGGTGCCAAAGTGGTAAACGTAAACTGAATAGAAAGTTAGTATTATATAAGAAAGGGTTAAAATGTTTAAACTTTGCGTATATGATTAGTTTGGAAAACCGAATAATACATATGAAACTTTAAATCTTCTTTGAAATACATTTAAGCACTTAATAATAGAAAATACGAAATTAATTACAAATAACGTTTACCAACGGCGACAATCAAATGAGTAAAAAATTAAAAGTAAAGGATTCCCACCGAGAAAGTTAGATGGCTACTAATCAGTGTTCTTCAATGGGATTATACTAATATTGGAAAAGGGATTGAGATGAAGTCAAATAAATCAATGAATTTTGACTAAGTAGAGGTTAAATGGAACCAACCATACTAGCAGCAGGATGTATATATTACTATCAATTCAGAGTTAGCACATATATAATGGTGATGAGTCTTGAACTAGACTGAAGCAGTCGTTCAATCCTTTTGATGTTTAACATTAGTCTACGATGAAAGGAAATTCGATATTAGTTCAAATAACCTTGAGTTTCCACTTTTCCTTGTGACAACTAAAAAATGATTTGGAAACATTAAGGGTTCGATGAAGAAATGCAGTCAGCAAAGTGCATGGTTATTTTATTATTATTATTATTATTATTATTATTATTATTATTATTATTATTATTATTATTAGGACTATTCTTGTTTCATTTCTATAATCATTACTAACTAAAAAATCATCTCCATACAGTTATTGAGTAATAAACAAGACATCGGTATTCCTGATATTTCCTTACAATAATCAAGATACCGAGACGAAAATACTTGATATAATGTCAAAAACTTGAGAAATATTTGACGAAAAATTAAATAGATGATAATCAAACTTCATCTAACAGACAGACACCGGGTGATTAATTATTAAAATGATAAATATGTACATAAACTTATAGTTAATTGGTCGTATAGTTTCTGTTAGCTCAAAATTTAGCTTTTGATGTGAAACAAAAATATCAATAACCTACTAACAACGCTAATACAATGCTATTTTATCATTTCACAAATATGGAAACGAGAAAAACGTCGTTAAGTAAACTTTAGTCAGATTATAAGAAAAATAATAAAAAAGATGTTCAATATATTCGGTGATTGGACTTTAATATTAATGCATCGATGACCACTTAAACATCAGTTTATCATTCAGTTATAAGAACCACAAGAAAATAATTTAGAGATGATTTAAAAATTTTAAATAACTATGGACATTATAGCTTAAACATAGAATAAAAATGTAATTAAAAGTACTGAAATCAATCACACTAAGTATCCGTGCATAGATTATTGTACTAAACTACTAGTTACATCTATTGTGATAATTATTTAGGTTGCTTGGTCGCCCAAACAATTCAGTCATAACTTTCATTTTTATCAATCATGCGAACGATTTTAAGTCATGTCATTCAAAGTCTCTAACCATTAGTTACGATAATCACCCAGACCCCAACCAGGTAGTATATAAACTACTGTTAATGACTACATGAACTGATGCCACCTTTTGATTTGGCCGCCCCCAACTTTCTTCTCACCTACTTCAACACCAGAAAATATTGCGATGATTGGCTATACATAATACATGTCCCAACCACGTCAGTTGATGAAGATTTACTACCTCTTTAATTGATTTGCCATCCTCACCTAGTACCATATTCCCAAGCCAGGAATCGTCTACTCGGTGGTCCCGAAATACACGGACAATACTTCGCAGACACCTATGGTCGAATACCCGTAGCCTACGAAGATCTATTTTTAATGGCCATGTTTCACACCCATAAAGCAGAACGAGGCAAACTACTGCACTATAAACTGGTTCTTTGGTTGGCAAACGAATACCCTGCCTACTCCACTAGTGGCGCAAGTTGGCTAAGACCAATCGAGCTCCCTGAATTCGTACCAAGATTTCGTCAGACACCAGACCATCAGGAACAATGAAACTTCCAAGATAATTGAAGCGGTCGATGTACTCAACCACTTCACTTTCTATCATAAGTTCAAGCGCTGACGCAGGTCAATCCTAAAGCAACATTCTGCATTTTGGAGGTGAGAATCTCATCTCAAACATGCTTGCATTGTTGTTTAGTGGTCAAAAGGCTGCATTTTGTCAGCGTCTGCACCAAGTAGAACTATATCGCCTGTGTACTTTAAGTCAACAAGTGAATATTTTAGTAGAAGATCGACCTTTGGGAAGTCTGACAATGAGTGTCGTAACTCTAAAGGGATGTATGTGACAGTTAAATAAAAGTGGGGAAAGCAGACAACCCTGATGAACACTTGAAGTTATCGACTCCGATAAGAGTTCCGCACAGATTTCGACTCGACCAGTAGTGTTAGAGTAGAGAGCCTGCACAAGGTTGGCGTAATTGTTTGGTCAACTCTCAATGACAGACAGTAGTAAAGAGCCTCACAATCAACAGTCAAATGTTACCTTAAGGTCAAGGAATATAGTTATTGTCGGACGTCGAAAAATATATCTATTTTCTAGAACCAATATACTTAAAAATTCCAGGAGTATATCTACCAGGCCTTCCTGTTCTCCCTCTCTTTAGATTGCCTATAGCATTTTCAACCTCACTAAAGGTTGGAGAACCTACATCAATTCACCATTTAGACTGCTTGGAGACAGTGCGTAATCGAAGTGTGACTGAAGGTCAGTTGAACTGTTCCCCAAAATGTTCTGCCCATCGGTCCAATCTCCTGGATTGAGAGTGAACAACGGACCTGTCTTTTTCCAAGAGTCTAGCTAACAGCCGGAATTTTAAGACCTACACCAGCGAGGCCAAAAGAATTACAATCGGTTGTGCAGATACGCGAAGGGTAAATCGTCCCAGTTCTTTATATCAATAAGGTGAAGCCAAAAGAATAACTGTACTTGGATCCTGTATCTGAGTTTCGGAGACACAGCATACATTTTGGTGGAGTTTTGTTATCTGAGCTCAGATAACAAAACTCCACCAAAATCATCCACCTGAGCTACAAATCTTCTCCACCATCTCAAACACAGCATACATCGATGGCGAGAGATTCTAGAGTCCTAGTTAAAGAAACCTGGTGTTCTATCTGACACAAGGTTCGAACATTAGAAGCTCCAACATGTAGTTTAGAGTGTGGTTTCAGGAGAAAAGGAATAACATTTCGTGAACTCAGATTATTAACATTGGTGGGGTGTGGTGATAAAGATATACCAGCAGGGTTAGTCGTGGGTATGGCAGAATTATTAGTAGGTCATGGAGGGATCTAATCGCCAATACCGTGATATCGCGTGCTGATAGGGGTATGAAGACAGCTGTCACTTACCAGTTGCCTACATCGCAGAAGGATATTTCTCCTTAAGGGACCTGATAAAGAAGCTGAATCAGTAGTGGTCCTATAGATCTGAGAGTGTGACCGCAGAACTAAAAACCTGGTTTTATTTTTTATTCTCAGTTATTCAATATCATCGATATTATTTCTCGTACACTGTTTCTTAACCTGTTAATTTCTCTTCTCACTTTGCTGTATGAGATGCGACAACTTGAACAGATACAAATTTGTGACTGACCAAGTAACCAAACCAAGTAATCAATGATAAAAATTTTATATAGTGAACAAAATTTAAGAAATTATAGCTAAATTAGTTGTGACTTACATATGGTATACTGATCGGAGAAGAGGAGTTCTTAGGTGAGGTAGTCCACGTACAGCCTCGAATACACGTTGTGATATAAGAACTAACACATTAAGTCGTGCAACAATTCTGCGCTGCGCAGACACTTGAAATGAAACATCTGATTCTTCAAAGCGTCGATAAGCGTTAGTAAAATCGTTGTAAATCCCTTTTAATAAATTATTTAAAACACAAAATGTGTCTGCAAACAGAAAAAAATATAAAATGGAAACACAAAGTATGACAAGCAAAAGGAATCAGAAAATGTGATAAATAGGTCCGAGGCAACAACTTTGGTTTGATATTTAGACCAGTTTAACTAAGTACTGCAGACAGACTATTTGAACAACTTTGTCACAAGTGTTTGGACCAATTTCCACGAATTCTTAGCTATTTATTCATTTATTTGAAAACACAAACATTGGTGAAAGGGGCACCAAATACGTATGCACCACATAATAAAAATGAGGTTGTGAAGAGAAAGAGGTAAAGTGCGTATAATAAAGAGAACAACGATGAACAGAAATTAGTGTATGAGAGTGAAATTACTATTATTATTACTATTATTATTATTATCAATAATAATAATAATAATAATAATAATAATAATAATAATAATAATAATAATAATAATAATAGGAGAAACAGTTCAGTTAGGAAAAATACAACCAGCAAGAATTCTTCCATCTGAAGAAGTTACGTTTATTTTTATGAAGAAAGCAAAATAAAATTACAGTAGGATCGCTAATTGCTTCTATTCTGAGCCATGTCTGATAACGTCTCAAGCCAGTGTTGCACTGTCTCTAGGACTCCAATCACGGAGTCGTGAAGAACCAACAGAAGCCAGTCCTGTATAGCTCCCTTCCATACTACGACATCATTTCATACACTGACCACCTCTCCGACTTTTAAAACCAGTCCCAGAGTCGGCAAATAATACACGACGTGGAATTCTCTGGGACGACATTAGCAAGACATGTCCAAGCCGCCGAAGTCGATGCTTCAAGATAGTGGCATCAACTGAATGATCGTCGTTGTTCTCAAACATACGATGCCAAACCTCTGCATTACTAACATGATGCTACCACTGAATGTCAGCAATCATTCGGAGACAACAATGACCAAACACAGAGAGTCGTCTAATATACTCAATTAGGAGAGGCCAGATTTCCAAGCATAGAGCAGAACTACTCTCACCGACGCGTTGTAGATCCGACCTTTTACAGCCAAACTAACATCACGAAGGCGTCAAATATGGCCCAGATTGGCATAAGTCACCGTGGCTTTGACTATACGTGGACTGATCTCATTACTCACGCCACCACCAGCACTTATGCAGCTACCCAAATACACAAACTTCTCGACTACTTCTATTTGCTCACTATCCAGGGTGAGTACATGGTTAGAATCCTGCCAATATTGTAGAAGTACTTTGCACTTCGAAGGTTCAAAGCACATACCATACCTACGGACACTGATTGCGGATTGCATGGCTTGGACCTTATTGCACAGTAAGACAATATCATCCGCATACTCAAGGTCGAAAAGTCTTTCCCCAGGAAACAGATCCACACCGCCATTACTTACATCCATCAGAGCTGTTTCCAGAATGTCATCGATGGCAAAGTTGAAGAGGAATGGTGAGATTGGGCAACCCTGCCTAACCCCACTGCTCGAATGGAACAATGGAAAAAGGTGGTTGTATGCCCTCACTCTGCCTGAGGTGTTTGTATATAGGGCCTTTAAGATGTTAATGAACTTCTCAGGCACACCCTTTTTCAATAGACAATCCCAGAGAACAGTCTTGTCCAACGAATCGGAGTCAGCCCTGATGTCGAGAAACACTACGATTGTTGGCCTGTGATAAGTATGATGGTGTTCTAACATTTGGAGGAGGGTGAAGATATGATCAATACATCCTCGACCAGAACGAAAATCAGCCTGCTCCTTGCGAGTCAATCTTTCTCGGGCTTTTGAACAACCTACAAAGTATGACGGAAGCCAACAGTTTGGACGCAATCGGAATTAGACTTATCCCCCGATAGTTGTTACAGAAACGACGTGAACCCTTTTTAAAGATAGGGACAACTATCGACTCATTCCACAATGTTGGAACACTCTCTAATGGCCAGACATTTGCAAACAACTCAGTTAAATCCTTAACCAGAAGGTCGCCACTAACTTTAAAACGAATAGGAGGTAGGTCATTTGAGCCCGGTGATTTGTAGCGCTCCAAGAGTTGGAGTTCCTTGCAGACTTCCGCCTTGTTAGATGGATCGGTCGTCACAGGCCGTGGAGGGTAGGACGATCTGATCGATGTTGCTGGGGCAGCGGAACAATTGAACTGCTCCTCGAAAAACTCTGCTCATAGTCATAGACGTCGATAGATGTTAGTTATCGGCATCCCGTCATCTTCATAGATTGTTCCGCTCACACCAGACTTCTTGCTGCCACTGACTCGGATGAGTTAGAAGAACTTCCGGAAGTTACTAGATGCAACTGATGCTTTTAACTCATTGGCACGCTCCGACTAACAGGCTTGTCGAGATCATTTAGATAGAATAGGGTTTCCACCATAGGCGAGCTGCTGTATAAGTTGAAAATAAGGATACACAAAGTGGGAATAAAGGAGGGTAGATAAGTGACGTAGTATAAAAGGAATAAAAACGAATGTTATATGATTGTGAATAAGATTCTTAGTATATTCGCAGAATAGATAAATGGCCAACAAAAGTACCTATGACAGAGAAAAACAATTTTCAGGCAATCCTAACATATAACTTATGAGAAAAGAAATCATTATCGGTTTAGATGAATTTGTCATATTAAATTCAGTGCGGACTCCGCTTATCGACTTCCAATACATTCTTAATATGATTTGTGTTTAGTGACAAATACTCAGTTCATGAATTCTAATCATTGTAACTGATATATAATCGGTCAACTTAAGTGTATTTCAAATATACTGTGTTCATCATTAACAGAACCCCCACTACTAAACTATACTTCTTGCTTTAGCTAGTGGGGGGGAAGAGAATAGAAGTCTTGTTCACTACATTGAAGTCGGAGTTGTGAAACATTAGCATAGCTCACAAATGGAACGGTCGTTCAAATCACTAATAATAAAAATGGATAAGAACACTATCAGAACTACATTTCGAACAATATGATCACACTGCTAGTATATCACATAGTTCTGATAATATTCGTCATCTTGTTACACTATCCAAATTTATCAAAGGAATTTTTTTAAAGATGGATATACCTTTCTTCAAATCAATTTGCAAGAACGTCACGCTATATCGAAGTGAAGCTGAAATAAAAAACAAAATGGTTTATTATTGATTTTAAGAAGTTTGGTTCAGTGGAACATTAAATGTAATAGATTGAAGTTAGTTCATTGCATTTTGGGAGTACTAATCAGTAATGAAAGACATAAACTCGTTCTCAAACTCCACGCTTCCAAACCCTAGTTAAATTTATGTGAGCTCGTACCTTTTATATCAATCCATATACTTGTTCTTTTATTTCTATATAAAATGTTCTTTTTTATTTTTCCGATCGTCTGCGTTGTTTCTAAACAATATTTCTAAAAGTTAACTATCTACGTGTCTCCATAACGAAGAATGTGGATCTAAATGTGAAGGTGTTCTAGTAGTTAAAACACTCAAATTTCAATTAGTGAGTCACATGTTTGGGTGCTAGTACTCTTATTTTAGGTAGTTCAATATCATGACTAATCCTGAGATAAAAAATATGTGGTTCTAAATACAGAGTAGAAGACACCCGTAAGCTACTAGTATTTGACCACAGATGCCTTAGAAATATTGCTGGCATCTGCTGGGATCACCGGGTAAGTAATAGTGAGGTTAGACGCAGGGTATTAGGTAATGATGGTAAATCAGTTGATGAGGTTATGAATCTTCATCGACTGAGATGGTTGGGCCACGTATTACGTATGCCTGAACACCGATTACCACGACGTGCAATGCTAACCGGTATTGGAGATGGTTGGAAGAAAGTTAGGGGCGGCCAAACCAAAACGTGGCATCAGTGCCTGAAGTCACTAACTTCTAGTCTGAGCCATGTTGGTAGATGCAGACTACTTGGTTGGGGTCCGCGTGACCATCGTAACCAATGGTTGGAGACTCTTGGTGACATGGCTCAGAATCGATCACAATGGCGTCGGTGTATACACTCCCTGTCTTCCCTTAAACTAAGAGATTAAAATCACTTCATATCTTTCTTTCTACGAACTATTTCTTTCTTCCTATACTATATCCTTATTGCAACCTTTGACCCAACCACTCCTATGAATCCGGTGTTCATCTTGCTGTGCTAATGAGGTATGGCAACCTGGACCGATGCACATATGTGCCTGGTCCTACGTTGTAGCTGACTGACTGACTGAAATACAGTACACAGGTTTTTACATGGCTGACATTAATATCTACTTGAATAATAATAACAAACACATGGTAGAAAATATGTTTGAGAGACTACCAGTCTTATCGTGGATATGGATGAACTATAATACCTTTAAAAATATCGAACTAGATTTCCGTATTATGTCCCGATAAGAATAATGAATAGTAACTCTTGGGATCCATTTATGGACCAATATTATGCGTACATTTTTATCGTTTAATTGTTAAATAACTAGATTATTCATATGCATTTCCCTCTCATTATGAGCTTTATTTTGACCTATGAACTGTTATTATACGACTTACCATTCTTGAGTTATGCCCTGTCTATCAATTACTATCCCCCTTATTCACAGCCACATTTGGCTAAATCTAGTACAAATGTTGTTTCTTATTTTATGGTACGATGTGGTCTGTTTGATTAGTATATAAACCCTGTATGCTTGAAATAAATGATTCATATCGCAGAGGCTGAGATTGGTGTTCTGAACTTAACTGGTTGGGCTAGTCGGTCAGTCAGGACCAATAAGGACTCTAGACTGCTCGCACGTGTTTTATGCGTTGTTGGTCTGATCGATAATCCACTGCTCTCTGATTGGCGGTATCATTATGTTATACATTAACAGGACAAATAGGCCACAAGTTATAACATTCTGCCACTGGAAAAGTCGCATACATGGAAAGATATTACCTGACAAAGTGTTAAACTGAGTAATTTTGAATACTAAAATTCCGTAATGCAAAGCTTAGACTTATCAACGCCTTGTTTAAAGTGGCAAGCCCAGTGTTTCATTAAAATAACATTTTTCGTACTTAAATTTATGGAATGAAAGTGAATATTAGAAAGAACAGTGTGGATTAATATCAACTGGAATTGGTCATAAACTTTCATTATATTAAGGACTATGTTTTAGAGACTCACGTTTTTCTACACGAATGAATTTACATTTATCTAAAAAGTACAGTTTATTGAAATGATCGTTAAGGATGACCCACTAGGTTGACAAACTAGCCTTTTAATACGAGATATAACATCAATTAAAAATCAATAATCACAAAGTTACATATTAAGCCACATACAACTAGCACGCCATTAACAGTTAGGTATTGAATACTAACTGAAGCGGTGGCTTGGAAGCTAAGGCGTTTAATTTACAACCATTAAGTCACAGATTTGAGCTCCAATATCAAGTACTTCGGTTTATCCAACCAGATAGTCACCAGCCCCACACTTAGAGTGTGGTCCAAAGGCGAATACGTTATGATATGATTTGAGTAAATAAACAAACGACTCACCAAGTCAACCTACAGTTAGGGACAAACTTATGGTACCCCATGTTGTCATATCACATCACCACAAAAAGAAATTATCAAACATGAATAGCTGAGCTGAAATAATAGTAATGTTAATGATAGTGAAAGACTGCACATCGAAGAATATGGTTCGAAGAGATGACTTCAAAGGATAGAAACTATGAAATACGGAGGTAGTCGGGCATCCCTAACATACCCAAGACATCTCAGTCGATGATTTACAATCTTGTCAATAATTCGCTACATTTGCCAAGTACAGTAAGTCTAACCAGATCACTGCTGTTACACAATAAGCAAACTATGTACTTGATGAGCTTTATTCGTGATAACGGATGTTAGTTCAAGACAATTTGATATAATCCGCCCTTTAATCTGTGAGGACACATGTCATGATATTTTTACGTTTAAACTACTTGCCCATCTTTTAGTTACTATAACACTTATAAAACCTCATAGAAAACCCTTTCATCAATAGTGAAAACTAAATGAGAAGTATTCAGATCACCTGGTTTATGAGAACATCCCAACATGGAAATAGGTATTCTTAGATTACATTGTTGACTTTTCTGACGCTAGCAACACTACTCTGCAAAATACTAAGTTATTTCTATAGAAGATATATAAGTAGAATTTTAGTTGTTCCTTTAGATCCATCTTTAGAAGCCAATAAGTTAAAAAAAACAACGTACGATCTGGGACAAATGTCCATCAGTCTCAATCGCCACCCTTCGCATCAGCTGAGAAACAGGGAACTGACAACCAGAAAAGCGAAGGATTATCAAAAAATACGAACGGTGAAAAGAAATTAAAACAAAATATAGTTCAAAATAGGCAAGTGACTTTTTGGGGTGAGGGGCATTAGGTAATACTAGAAGCGAACAAGCATGCTCAATGTGTTTTGATCATAGTCCATAAAACAACTGAGTAGCTGATTACAAACTATCCAAACAAGGAGTATCCCAAGATGACTATTTACCACAACTAACATTATAATAAACTTGATAGGAAACCCTTTATAATCAAACTATGAAAACTTCAGTGCGCCTCGCAGAGTTGAGCTTTAATGAATCGGACCAAATGTACGGCTTTGAAACACAATCAGACATGCTTTCTAATTTAGTCCTACCATTTTGGCACATCATATTCAAAATAATTTTTATTCCTCGTTAATTTGAAGAACCAACTACAACACATCAGATTCCCCATTGACATAGGTAGCTATGTTGAATAACAGTGAATAATCAAGAATTTCTAGACGGACAAGGTATTTGCATACATAGGTGGGATCGAAATGCAAGATAGCTACGGACGATTGCTGATTGCTAATTACTGTCTTAATTAACACATTAATGGATATCTTAACGCATATGAAGCTTCAGTATGACTTTGATGTACAGAATATGTTTTTAATTGGACGCTTTATTACAAGTTGACTAGTCTAGTCGATAGCAATTGAACTCCGCTACTTAAGGGACTAAAGTGATCCCAGAGGACAAGATGAATATCAACAGACGAAATCAATCGATGAGATTTTACTATTATCTGTTTGATTTAATAAAGCATAGGATGTTTTACTTTCTTCATTAGTAGGCAGTCCCAAGAGGATATTAAATTAGCAAGCTCAACCTTTCATTTGGTATAAAAAATGATAGTTAAAAAATTCGCCCATCACTTTATATTCCCAGATAATATTTAAAATAAGACGTAAGTAAAGGGCACTCGGTTTAAGCACTCTACTTCACAGACGAGTCGCTCGAACAGCACCAACATTGCCAAACAAACATCACTGTGTCAGGAACCACTTTGGTAATGAAACACATATCTGGACTCAAGCGGAATAAAATTTACCAAAACAGCAATAATGAGTGGAACATACAAATGTCTCACCTCCAGTAGGTCTGAATCCTTTGAAGTCACGCAAACGACACTCTTGGTGCATTTAAACGATCGGTATTTAGACCCTGAATACGAAATTGCTAGTCCTTATTGTTCTATGCAACGAAGGTTCCCAAGAAAGTTGTCTGTCCCTCACCATAGGAAATACCCATAAGACCTGATAATCTAAGGACAGTGGCCAGTCGAAAATCGCGCCAGATCTCTGTCTGGGTTTCTATTTGTTCATTTTTATAAGCATCTAGAGCGCATGTAGGTATACGCAATCGTTCACCTCCTCGTGATCAAATTGTTGCCAACTCAGTCTTTCGGGGTTGCAGTGGTAAAAAAACTACCCGACGGCCTTGAACGATTGCGCCTTATGGATTTTGCAAGACATTAAAACTGAAGTTAAGAATACTTCTTTAGATGTTATAAACCAAGTAAAACTCAATGGAATCAGGTTCTTAAGTGCTTAAGATTATAAAAATGTCTATCATGCAGCTAAGACGCAATTTTAGTGACGCGATGAGGCCACAAAGCACGATAAACGCCGGTGACCTTGAGAAACCTAACCTACGATGGTCAGAAAGGGTTTAAAAATTAGTGTGGGTAATCAGGATCTGGAATTCGGAGTTAGAAATTCAAGTAAAGGCTCTCGTGATAGACGGATATCAGATATAATGCTAAAATGCTACCCGCCAAATTCCGAGACTCAGCATAACTATAAAGATGCCGCAGGTATTCGAAGTTTGACAACGTTTTAACCAGTAACACCTTCTATAATCGAAATATGACAACCCAGTCAAATCGGAAGTCGGAAGTGAAGAGGTTCGAAAACATATTTGATAGGATATCGACAGTCAGTCTATGTTGGCTAGCAGTTGTAGATGTGATGCATGCAATAATAATACATGATCTTGGACCTGATATATCCCTTGTATTCCCTCCTAGTGCCCTCACTTTCAAATGACTCATTCAAGAGGGAACTGTTCACCCACGCAAGCGTACTAGAAAGAGACAAATAAAGGTCGTCAGTCTTCTAACCTAAATTTATATATCTGCGTGTGAATCTAGTATGGGACTACTCAACGTATAGAGGTTTATTATTCACATTGAAGCTATTCGTCCTCTGCTATATTACTGCTAATTGTTGTTTCGCAACGAAACACTGCTTCCTGACTTTTGGATAAATAGCTCAATTTTATCGGTATGGTATGTTTTGACCCTACGATCCTGTTGCATTGTAGAAACATATAGCAATAACTCTTATTCTACTTGTCATATGCATTGATGCCATCTGGCTTTTACTAATCTGAAGGCTATATAGTCGTAGGAGACGCATATAGGATTAACGTGTTTTATTTCTTGAAAACCTTCAAGAAGTTCTCATCTGTTGAAATTGAGTTATCTTTGTTCCATGCCTGTCAAGCAGTTGGATATAAGGTAAATTTAGCGTGTGAAATATTATTTAATTGGTGTAAGTTTCTGATACATGACAAAAAATTGGTTATAACGATGGCACATACGCGCAGCTATAACAATTAAGTTGTTTTACATTAATTGAGTTTTTGTATTAAGATAGTGTTCACAAGATAAACTTGATGAGCCAGACGGCCAACGTGTAAATCTGTAGCTACTAGCTGAGAAAAAGATCCCACCGAAATGCCTTGCGCATTCGATTCACAAATTAAATGAAGAAGAGTAGTGGCCGGTAATTTAGTAAACGTCCTGTGGCAAAATGTTTGGAATAAATAACTCGCTATAATATCACTGACTGTTTGTAAGCCTAGACGGAAAGTGAAAATCACGAGTGATTGATAACTTGTGTATCAACCTGTGAACACAATGTTTTATTACCTTATGCACGTAATACACTACTTTAAGCAACATGCACCACAGTTCTCTTGCATTTTAATTCTGACTTGGGCACTTAGTTTTTGAAGTTCTTCCATAAGCCCTTAAAAACGTAATTGATTACTGACTCGGACATATATGGGTTTTTAAACTGTGACACAAATATTCTGTTCGCTATTATTTGAGGCAGTTCTGACTTACTCCAAATAACTCTACAAAATCGAGACTTACAAGTGCTATCATTCCTTATTTTGTGGTAAGTATATTGGAAGGCTGATTGGAGTGTCATAATATGAACCGAAATTGGCCTCAGTGATTCATGAGGATTCTGTCCTCTAGTAGTTCGATCCAATTAGTTGTAATAAACGGTAATTGCAACCTATTGAGGAATCACGTAATTTTTCACTGAATCCACTCAGCTCCCACTGTGTCTAACTACTCAAATAAATGGGGACGTGAGTCCAAAAGACCACGAACCCATGCCACACGCATTCTTTTTTTGTTTATCTTGACCTGTTCTGCAGTTATGCCGTTACCGATCAGCCAGATTTTTAAGGGGTGAGATTATTCGCATACGCATCTCATTATGGCCTGTAAACTTCAAGCAGAAAAGTAAGTCATGGTAGAACTTCAATATTAACTACACTTTGTGATATGGATGTTTTAGGTGGTGACCTAACAGTGATTTTCGGAAAACCGAATCAAAATAATGTACCATATCGGTGCTGAGTTAACAGACGATTAAAGGTTTCCGGTCAAAATATTTGCCCTTAGACTGTCTACTGTTGTGCAAACACTCATAGTATAGATAGTCTCTGACTACTCAGAGGTGCACGCACAATTACTGCCCTTTGTTCTTGTCTCTCAGACAAGTAATTTTGTGACATACATCAACTAGGTTTCCTTGATTGTCGTCTTGATAGCTCATGATCTTGGTGGAAATTAACGTTAACTGTGTATTAATAAAATTGTCTATTAACTCATTGGCTTAAAACTTTACTACTTTTTACTCGTGTCCCCACTAACCAACCAGCAGAACAAAAAAACTGATTGCACTAGAAACGTCCCATCAGCTTTGCGAACCGAATTCTGGATCAGTCTGAAGAAATAGTGTCGCATTAACCGACCAGTGTCAAGAGTGTATTGGAGAATCTGCTAGCGGAGTACATATTCGTCACTTTATCTAAATAGGAATTTATTTGTTTATCTGAACCGAATGTTGATTGTAAATATGTGTTGAGTGACGTCTTCTTTTTTCATTTTACATTCTGCACACATCACAGGAACTTGAAACAGCTCTATTTAGAGCCGCTCTACGAAATTATCTAAAAGTCTTGCACTTTTTTCGACTCTGAAGACGTTTTTGAAGAACAGATTTGAAACATGTATGATAATTTTAATCAATAAATATAAACTACTGTTGCTATTTTCTCGCTACCTTCAAATGCTGGTAGGTTAAAAATATGCACTTTTAACAGAACCGATTGTAGTGAAGTCTTAATTAGTTGGTTTTTTAAATAAACCAGTCAAATAGCTCAATAATTATATAAATTTACGCCCAGTCTGAGTACGTTTACTAAATGTCACCAAAATGGTATGTATGTGATCGGAAGTTTTACAAGCTGTTTCCCAAGACGCTGAGACATAAGTCTTTACATTTTGATAAATAACTTGAATGTGGATGGTGACTGTGTGATTCAATCCTAAGGTTCTTTTACCAGGGTCCTCTATGACCTTTCCACCAAACGGATGTACCTTTTATGTTTAACAGTCTACGGTGATAATTACTAATGTAGCCATAATTATAACATCATTGATAACAATATCCATATGGAATTAAACACTAACATTCACGAGCTGTACGCCATAATCGCTCAAGGGATTACTTGACAATATAGATTGTTTGAGCTATACTGAGTGTACTTGGTTTGTCCTGATTATTATATTTGATAAAAATAGATCAGGATTGTTATAAATAAAACAATTAAGGCTCATTAAAAAACAGATGATTCTTTACAAACATGAATGGATGGTGGCTAGCACTGGAATTCGAGACACGCGTTTCGTTCGATTTGGGACTCGTCAGCTGGGTGAAACGCGCTTACTGGATTCCACCGTTGATCACCACCCATCTTTGCCTAAATACTTATGACATAAGGCTATATCAAGACAACCCTTATAGGATTCACATATACCATTAAGAAACTGATCAATTGAAGTCCTGTATAACAACACGAAAATTCAAGCAAACAATGCAGAATGAACATGAATGACTCTTTAGTCTGAAAAATTTACCGACTATAATAGAAGATTATCGCTCAATGTCGTGGATTGATTAAAATTATGTAATAACATGGTTCGGTGACGGCTTAATGTCCAGGAGGTTAAGTGATCACGCATGAGGTTGGAGGTTCTGGGTCAGATTATCACACGCAGGGTTTGCGATGTGCACCGATGAGGAATCACGTGCTGAACTGAAACGATCACCCTGTGCTTCTTATATTTCAACGGCGGCATGATTTAGGTCGGTTTCTTACTCCGATGGAACATTCATACTATGGAGCATTCGTGTCATCAATGGTACCAAATGAAGCATTTTTATGCATACTTGTACGGATGAATGTTGATAATGAAAATACTATTCGCTGTATAAATTAATAATTCACTTTTCATGGTTTTGTTTCATAAACGAAGTTTCACATCAAGCAACTGTTATTTGATTTTAAAGCAGCGGTAAATGCAAACTTCTCTTTCATATAGCCCTCACCTTGTTTTTAGTTAATAAACAAACCGCTTACCCGGATAATATAATTCAAATAAGAAGCAATCTTTAGTCATCCATATCTGCTTATCATCATACTTGCAGTGACATGTGCGTATGATGAATTTCTTAAAATATTCGTAGAAAAATATTTTTAAGGGTTTGGTTTTAAGACTTGATTAACTGTTGGTCAACAGATTACTGAGGCCTATAACACTGAAAATCGAATTCTTGCACCTAACATAATAAAAATCAGATGAAACAGTGAGATTCAACAAAGCAATATGGTGAATTTATCATTAGCAAGTGCTACATGTTTGACCATCATTTTAATAGGCAGGAGATTTATTTCATGGAAATAAGTATTTACAATTTTCACGCATTAATTAAAAAGGTGAACACAATACTTCGTTTACATTTAGTTTCACTGTTGCTTAAACCATTTATATTACATATTAAAATTTAATACTAAGATAGAGTTCATAATATAAATATCTTATAAGCTTTCGTAAACACTAAAAAACTTAGTGAACTAATATTAATAAATAAACCCGCTTCCTTTTAAGAACTTGGAACTCGGACTATCGACATCATCTACTGAAGCATATCGTTCGCTTAGTTTCAATCAGCTATAATTTAAAAACATTTTACTTAGTGCTGAACTTATTTTTGGATGAGACTTATAATACCAAACTCATTTCACCGCATTTTGGTTAGCTATGGCATCCTTATTTGTGCCTCCGTCATTTATCACATGATTTAACAT